CTCTTGGTTGTATTTATATATGCTGTGAATCGCGTTGATTCACGCTCGTGAATCCGGTCGAACCACTCTCCGACGCACCGTCCTCTTTTCACAATATGTCTTTATTCTCAAATCACACCCCACAGTAGTTCTCGATGTAGGCACACCTATGACTCATTGTTTCACGCTTTTGAAATAAAAAACCACGCGCAAATGCTACACGCGACACGATGACAGCAACTTGGTTGAGATAACTAGTAAACAGACGTGTCACAGCAGTCTCCAGTCTTCACCATCGTGGATAGCAGGTTAGCGTAGTGGCGCAAACTCAACACAGGGGCCCCGGCGTGGTTTAAGACCACATACCGTAGCCCACAACATACATATATCGATAACACATTGGCAAGGCTTGACTTATGCTGTTCAATGGTTGCACATATCCTTAGTTTGCATGGGTATTGGTCAGTAGCCAGACACAATAAAGACATAAGTTATCATTTCCGTGAGCCACTGCTGATTGCTGGCATCACCCATGAAGCTCAAATTAAGAAATCAACGAATATTATTAAAACCGATAAATTTGATAATCGGAAAAAGGCTGGGTCCATCAGCTGTTTGGCTGTAGATTGCATCAAACGCAAATGTGCAGCTACGCTTGACGACTTCATGCCAAACACACGGAATCACACGCTGGCGTCATGACATAAAACCCCAAAACGTGCACGCACTTGCAGGCACTATGGCCAGACTGCGTCACAATTAAGGTATCTATTGTGTGCGTACTTAGGAGACACGAATGTCGCATATTTTGGGAGATAATTAAATCGCTTAAAACATTACAATGGATTTTGCAAGAATCTGCCTGGTAGCCGGTTAAAAAAACACAGATACCTCGGCACTAGGTCAAAATCTGATCCTTACCATAATTTAACTAGCGGGGACTTGAACCTAGGTAGCTGAGACACTAATTGTTGGCTCAACCCTGCTGTGTTTTGTCGTCGAGTTGCTATGCTTACAAAGACGTGCATGAGTAATGGAGAGAGTTAGCCAATAGGGTTCGGGTGTACGAGTGACAAATGACTAGTTGATTGGTCAGACTAATGGGAAGATGTGTACACTGCGGGCGTATGATGAGAGGTGTCCGCTGAAGTAAGGTGGTCGGTGGGTCTGTGTATCTGGCGGCAGAGTTGGTGACTGTGAGTCATGATAACTCACTACAACAACATAGGATATTTTTTGGTCTTGGAGTCAAATGATCAAATCGGAAAAAAGTGGAATTCAAAGTATGAAATGCTTTACAAATCTAAAAACGCTTTTAGTGACCGTTGAGAGCAGAGTTAAGGGACATTGAAGGCTTCAAAACCAAATAAATGTATTTCATTTGGTTCCTAGTTAACTCACATTAGGTTTAATGGATAAATATACCAACCTAGACTTGCCTCATTTTTATCCATCTTATTCTAAAAAAGAGTTTATTGAAACTCAGACAACTCTTTAAATAATTCATGTCACAATGAATAAAATTTATAACAACTAGGCCTACTGGAATGCTCCCGAAGGCTGGGGGTATGAAATCCATTTAAGAAAGTGATTCTGGGTCAGTTGACATTTACGTGGGTTTCGCCAGTAAAATTGACATCTGCAGATAAAATTCCGTGTATAGTTTCCACAAGTAAACATCATAAGCCTGCGTTTTATCGTATGTGCTACGTGAGGGACCAAGCAGTGTAGTCCGTAATCCGTGGATAAAATTTAATAGCCCACGCGCCTAACTACCCAACCAACTCTAAAATCAATCCCTTAGCTATGAAAAACAAAAAAATGAAGAGTAAGAAGGGAACCGAATAAAACGCGATTTCTTTTGATCCTTGTTAATTTGATCCACTGGCTTCCTTGTTAGATGATTCCCCGGGGAAAGTGATATAAGTGAATGCACACTTCGAGTGATCGAGCATGTTCCCACACCAATCGATTTCCTGCTAACCTGAGGTACTGCTGGAGTAAAGAAATTTTTACTAACCTGACGAGTTGTAAATTCAGTTATCGAAGCGGAAGCATTGTTTTTATACCAATTACTAGCGGCCATGAGGAGTAATTAGCGTCGACGTAACTCAACTGTCTAAAAGGCTATTCACGGCTTGCGCATCCCCACTTAGGAGTAAGGGAACATTTCTTAAAGAACGACAGGTTAAATCACTCCCAGTTCCGATAACTGAATTTATAACCACCATTCCCCAACCTAGAAACTAGCTGTTGCTCAGTGAGAAAAATGATTGACTAATTTACTCTTCCAGTTTTAACGGTGAATCGAATCGTGAAGAGGTGGCATCAACATTGTCACCGACCGGGGAAAGTGAAGAAACGGACATTAACTGGGCGTGCTTACTCAAAATCAGTGGTCTAAATACGACATTTGAAGGAAGGTATTGCACTATTTGTGAACAAGGCGTATACGTTCTGCTACCTTAATAACAGTAATAAAATTAGGGGAACAGATTAACCAAGTTATGACGCATTTCTAGTGAGATCTCAGGTACCTATTAATAGAATTGAGCTAACCCCGTTATGTGGCTTTAAAAGAGACAGGGAAGAAGTAAGTTGTAATCCAAAATGACTGTAGACACCATGACTTGTCATTCTGAATTCACCATGTTGTACCAAGTCTTTCTCTCAACTAAATCCTACTTACGCCTTGGTGATAAAATTGACGGTGCCCATTGGGACACTATCAAATTTAAATTGAAGTAGCAGTCGCCCACCAAGTGCCTTGTCATGTTTTCTGCTTGTTTTTGTTAGTGCATTGTAGTAAATTACCCTTCGCTTTAAGCCATAGCATCCAGTGACATCACTTTCCAGCTGATGGCCCAAGTGGTCGCGAAGCCGACTATCTCTTGGTCCAGTGGTGGCCGAGGAAGGGAAGAGAAATATCGCAATGATTTCACATCCCACCAAATCAGGCTCCTTTATAAACCATTCTGCATAGCAATATTGAACGCTAGCAGACATGAGTCACTTACACTTCAATTTCGCGATAAAGTCCAAGTACCGCCAAGCAGCAAACCACAACATTTCCAAAAATAAAACTAATCAGTGAGAAGTTAAGTGTTGGTGTGGCAAGAGAACCAACAACGAAGTTTAGCTTCTAAACTTCAGTGTTAACTGACAGTCTCGATGCGTCTGATTGCTTCACTGCCTATAAAGTGGTCACTAAAGGAAGCATTCCATTTCGGCGACCTGATGAAGGATCTAGATCGTCTTAGGATACTCATGCAAAAGTTAATCTGTGCAACTACTAACACTGGTTTTCGTTAGACTATATTGTGTGACCTTTGGCGGTAAGTATCCAGAATTTTGGCATACATTTACTCTGGTGTTTAAGTTAACACGTACACATGTTTTCCATTCTGGACTGTCTTTGTTGCTCCTTTATCCCGGCTTAGTCTGTCTGTTGGCATTTAAAGTGCTGCTGTTATTGACAACATGGGGAGCACTTTCGGTCAATGATGCGATCAGGAAGTCCTGTAAATGGATTACTTTAAGTTCATCACAGGAATTGCTCTGTGGGGTCTGTGGATATGAGACACTTGAGGCTACGTATTTTGAAGACGCGTAGAAATACAACTTGGAAGATAGCCACGGGAAAATTCTAGCCGCCGCATGTGAGCAAAAGTACCAACGTATTCTAGACAATTACGAAAGCATTGGTAGAAATAAGTACAATTTTATTGCAAATGCTAAAAACATCACTGGGGTGTAAATGCGGTTACATTGCGCGACTAACAGTAAATGCGCGTTCTTAAAAAAAGCTTAAGATTTAAATAAGGATTAGCATTTATCAGTGTAAAACACAAAGACGTAAGCTCTGATTTAGCTGAAGATATAATGCAAGATAACAAAACAATTAGACCAATAAACTAGAAGATATCGCAGTGTGGGAAGTAGGCTTTTGCACGGAAAATATTTGATTTAATGAACATCCAAACACCATTGCAATTTGTTTATATCACAGAAGCATAAAAAATTAACTCCACTGTGCATAAAAACTCACAGTGGCATAAATTACACGGTGTTTTATGCATTAGTACTTCGTGCACCGTGTTGCGTTCACAATTATGGTGTCACCTTGTTTTGCAGCCCCATGATTAAAAAAATTTGAGGAAAGGGGCCACCCACGGAGGCCGAACAGTGAAATTACCTCCTTGACAAATTAGCGGAATACTTCACCACAAACATGATGTGAACTAGCCAAACCTTTGTTCTGAATGGTAGTTTTGGAGACGACTGTGCCTTAGCCTTCCCGATAGATGAGGTCAGCATGGAGTTACAGTCCGTGCTGTGCGGATCGTCATACTTCGACTCTCCATTTGTCGAGAAATACTGCCACACCCCTATCTGTAAAGCGGGAGGGAAATCCGCTTTTTGAACCAGCTACGTCGCGCTCAACGCTTTCGACTTGCCCACTTGTTCATTGGTCCCTGAATTAGGCGAACAATTTTATAATAAACCGCTATTTGGACAGAACCGCTGGAAGCAATTTAACCCAGGATGCCAATCACGAAGTTGATTACGTCACACTGGAATACCGCTTACAGCCTCTACTGAACTTCCTCAGATCAAGCTCAAATTACACTCGTTGAGTTCCCTTAGATCCCAGAACTGCACCAAGAAATCAAAAGCGAAGAAGACGATTCCAATAAGAGAAATCTTTGAAGCAATCTGCACAGGAGTAGGGGAAACAGAGTGGAGTACTTGACATACGAGAGCCGGGCATGTTAAAGCATACTAAATTAGTGGGTTACGTTTCTTGATTTATCGATCACGGGTAATTCAGGCAAATGACGGCACTTCGTAGCTGCAAAGATAGCGCAAAAGACAAACAGGAGCCTGAAACGTCGATGTGCAGGCAGATTGGAGGAGTGGATATTGCGCACATGGGCGACAATTCCAGTCAACTTTATTACACATTATAAACACGAGACAGATGCCAAAATCACTGAGTAGGATGGAGGAGGGGAAGATGACTAAGCCTGGGGTGGGGGGTCGCCAGAAAAATTGAAGCTGCTTGGAACATCGGTTTGCTGGAAGTTGTACCCACCGGCCTTTTCTATTTGCTTCGATTCTACATAAAGAGGAAAGCGAAACAAATAAGTGCGAAGGCAAGGCGTGCCGAGATTGGCAAAGTGTTCATTTTGGCGCCAATCGGATTAGACCTCCGAAAACATTTCCCCATTAGTTTTTTTTTCATTTAAAGTCAGGATTATTCGATAGTTATGCTGCATTAAAATCGTGCTCAACGGCCTATTGTGTCGTGTTCGAAAAAGTTGGAAAGTATATAGTGAAACTTACGTTTCTGTTCAATGCAGTGGATAGCAGTTTTGGCGATTTCCTTGAACTCTGCCTTCTGAGTGTCTGAAAGCGGGCTGACAAGGCGTTGGTACCACGCGGCATCGGCGGTCTCCATTTCGGTCATAAGTTGATAAAACGTCACATACTCGTCCATCTCACACTCTTCTTTATCCAATTCCGTGTCGAAATTTTCCATGACCGAATCGGCTTCGAAATCGTCGTCGTCGTCGTCATCATCATCGTCGTCATTATCGCCGTCTCCAAGTTCAGCCTCCTGTCAACAAAGATAGCGTCTGCAGGAATTACGAGTTAACGGCTGCGGACCGTGATTTCCAAGAACAATGCATGTTGCGAATTGTTTCCCGGAAAAACTGACGATTAAACTGCATTTGATGATTCACATTTTATTAAGTATTCATGTAGACGGGATATTTAAAGTGTCTACAGCAGAGGAATTCCCATCGACAGACAATTAAGGTACTTTGTCGTCTAGGAAATAGTAAAATTATGTCGCTGAGGAGCCAAAAATCATTCACACTAAGGACAACTGGTTCTTGAATACCCAGGACTTAGACGACAACTTACCACAGCCTCGAGAAGTTCAAGGTATCGCGATCCCTCTTCATCAATTACGTCATCATCACTATCCGCCACTTCACCAGCAGCATCAGCAAGTCCGTCCTCATCGAGATCATCATCGTCATCATCTGATTCACTCTCTTCCTCTTCTAGTCAAGGAAAAATGCGCAACGTGATACGCGACACGCTTGGACGCCAAACAGTAAAAAAAAAGACCTTGGGAATGTCAATGCAAGTGGATTTTACACTCTGGGCAGCAGGCAAACACGAACGCGCTGGCCACAAGAAACCTTTAAACCTCCGTGTTTAAAGACCAGGATATGGGGATTCAGTCCACCACATTCAGAGAATAGTTCGAAAATTATAGAAACCAGACTAGGGAAGATTAACCAAAGTTAAGGCATGTTTTCGTGCCAGGGAGGCTTGCCCTGCAGGGCATTAAAGTCGACCAATTAAGTCATGATGGACTTACTTTCAGCTTCTTTTTTTAGGGCATAGGCGTTCTTTAAATCCGTCAACACACGAAGAAGGGCAGGGAGATACTGGGCACAGATGGCGTCAACAGCTGGAGGCCGCTGATCAGCCCTCAACGACAAAAGAGTGCAAAGACCAAGCACACAAACTCGTCGATCATGCAAACTAAAGGGAAAAGTTAAAGAACGTTAAAATTCAAATGAACAGGGAGAATTGCCTAAAATGATCGTCACACTATTGATAAATTTTTGCTTGTGCAGGCGACAATATTTACCGACAGTTGGCCGTTAAGACTGCAAACCGTAAGCATTTTTCATAAAGCGCAATCATTTCTGACAATTATTCTCAAGTAAGGGTCGTGTGCCCGAATGCGCACTTTGGACTTCGACGCGCAGCCCACCACAAAAAAAACGTTAAAGTAGTTGACAGCTGCTACCTTCTATTGAACGATTAGGCCCCGGGCAACGGAGGAGGCCACAGTCGGTCGAAGGTCTCAACAGGCTTCAGCAAAAGTGAATAGAAGAGTTAAATAAACGTGATCTGTTAGACACTTATCGGGAGAGTCAGTATTCAATCATTTGGCTGAAATGCCTTTGGGACTTACATTTGTCGTTCGCTTTCGAATTTTAGTGTTACCAAACCAGAATATAGTTTGATAATGTAACGATAAATTAAATCCGCTTACCCACTGAACTCATGAATACTGTCCATCCAGATCTTAAGGACATTTTCAATAATTGGAGTCTGCGTCTCTGGCCACATGTGATTGCACAGGATAGGCAGTACTATTGCCGCAGAGGTAACAATGGCTGCGATAACAACCTAAACGAAGACAGTGTGTGAGGTTGAGGCGACACGGAAGTTCACACATTCATGAAACGACATTAATTTTGTTGTTTACACATCTCAGTAGTCAATGAATTGCAATAGAAAGGGAATTCCAAGTCCAATCTAACCTACATAGCACTGGTAATTAAAGCAAATTCTAAAACTTTTGAGACAGGACCATACACAAGGACGAAAAGATTTAGAGCTAAGTAGTCCCCTTTAGGTGCAGTCGTGTGATGTCAAGCACATCTGTCTTCGAAGTTGGAAGATTGACGCCGCGTATCCACGAAGCATCACCACTAACTAGCGACACTTGTTAAAACTTACTTCAAGACACATTACACGGAGTTCAGCGATTGTCGTTTTTCTAGAAAGACGAGTTAACGCTAGTTCAACGAATTCGGGAACGCAGTTGTCCAGTTGACCACGGAAATTGAGCGTCAAAATTTCTAGCATTTTGGCGGCGTGGACACCCTCAGTTGACTGATCGTCGTCAGCTTGAAGAGACTAAAATGTGGAGAATATTGGGCTTTTCATGGGTAAAAACGTTGGGTTTCGAAACCAATAATCATGAGGATTCGCACCCAGATTTTTATAACATACGAATGAAGACATAATTTACTATTACAACGAGAAAATCACATCAACAGCAGGAAAGCCCGGCATTTCTGGATTTTGAGGTAGCATAAATCACTGGGATTTATTGAAACCACTTGAAAATCAGTCTACTATAAAAGTTATATCTAAACAATATAGTGCAAAATTTTTTTTAAGGAACTGAGATGGAAAATACTAACCTTCCGACACATGGATATGAGCATCTTCACGCGTTCAGGAGAGGCAACAAAGGTTTTTGGGTCCACGGTAACATAATTGTGCAATGCGGGCATCATACTGGCGAAACAATCACCAGCGTCAGTTTCATAAGCCTGATACAACCAGTCGAACACAGACCAGAGGAGTGGGGATACATTTGTGCAGGTCATCGAACAGATGAGGGAGAAAGCTTCATCGTAAAAATCCGAAACTTTGTTCTTCAGTATTACTTGGATTAGCTGCACAATCACCGGCTCTGAATTAGCTACGAGTTCGGCATTGTCTTCCATAACCGACATGAGTGACTCAATGTTTTCCATGACACCCGTGGCGACAAGAGATTGGTACTCCTTGGTCTCGTCGTAATCCAAGTCACCGGCCGCCGAACCTTCGGCGACGGAAACCAAGCCTTCGCCATTTTGCTGAACACCTATCAGTTTCACAAATGTGCCAGACTGGAAAATTAAAATGACAACCGATGAATAGACCTCAGCATACTGTCACGTTCACAAAATGTTATTGTAGGCTCTCGGCATTGTTGACGTCAAGGCTGTGGGAAACTTAACTACGGCTTCGATGTACTTTTATTACGTTATTCATATCTTGCCACACATAAACAAGAAATCACTCGCTTAATTAAACAATACACCTAGGAATATTTAAGAACTGACCAAATGCTGTAGCATCTGCACAGAAATAGGCTGGATTTCATCGTAATATATTAGAACATCGCGTAGTACAACATTAAGATCGTCAAATTCAGTCTCTCGGAGTAGTTTCAGCAACTCTGTAACAATAAATTGGAATAAATGAATACGGATATGTCTTGAGGAGATCTTGACTAAAACAAGAAACTCACGCATGACAAGCTCTGGAAGGTGTGCACTCATTACTTTCTTGACTAAAGAAAAAGCGAATAAATTAGAAGGAGCAATGTTTGTGAAAAATACACGAGAAAAAGCACAAACCTTCATCCTGGTCTTTCATAAGGGAGAATACTGTTTTGGCTGCGGCGACTCGAACGGGTAAATCTGGATCTGAACACATGAGGTGGCGACAAACCAAAGCGGTCTGGCACAGAATACTGACATTATTGAACTTAGCTCGTGACAGTTTTCCAACAAGCCAGCAGGCCCTAGCGCGACGGTATCCTTCAGGTGCTTCAAATAATGGCAGAACGTGTGTAGTCATAAATGATTCCAATTGTTGCTAAATGTATGAGAAGTATTAATGAAGGTTTACCTTGTAATCCCTGTTTCTAAGAAGAGTACTACAAACAGTTCCAACCAGATGCAGAGCTCCGTCCTTGATTTGAGGTTTTACGTTATGTGTTAACACCTGAATGCAATATTGCATCGATTTGTCTAAGATTCCTTTGCGCTTTGTGCAAGCATCTTTGATAAAATGGGCCGCCGCTTCGCCTGGGTTATGTAGCGTCATGTACATTGATGTGTTGTAACGAATGTATTCAAGAGGGTCATGTTCCCACATTTCTGCAAGCTCATCAGAATGCGACAAAAGTGGCACAATAACGTCTTGCAAAAGTGTATCGAAATTAGGTTGGAGTATTTTCCAGGAGAAAGCATGGCTCAATCTAAAGTGGGTGTATCAAGTAAGAGATGACGAACTTACGAAGCAGATAGGTAGGAAAGCGTTTCAGCCATTACTTTTGGAGATACGAAAGTTTGCTTACGGTAAGCATCACAAACTTTGAGAAAGGCAGTGAGAACTTGATTAGAGAAACTCTTCAGGTACCAATCAGCAAAATTGGAATATTTCTTTTGAACATTGCCAGGACTTCCATAACTGGTGAACAAACAGTATAGAATTCGAGCGACCCATTTCTGACGCTTCCAGTAAGCACTGTCAGCATCATCATTACTACCATTAAAGTTTTGGAGAATCGAGCAAAACAGAACATGCCACTCCGTGAACCACTAAGGAAAGGTTATATAGAAGCAAGACTTACCTGTTCGTTAATAGAGGATACAGGCAAAAAAAAGTCGGTATAGCGATAGAATATTTTCAAAACCAATTTTTGTAGACAAAGAGACTCGTCGGACGTATCGGCAAGCATTGTGACCATGCGTTGATGGAGGAGGGGGAGCAGTGAGCTCATGGTTTGAGGAAGTGGGCCTTTATCAGTTGTTTTATGTTCATATACCTGAACCAGAGCATATAAACAGAGAAGAGCCCCATGAAGCTCGCGGAAATCAGTCGTATTCAGGTATCTTGCCATATGTTCCACAAAGTTGGGATAGCGGGAGGGGAAATCACTTCTCAAAATTTTGCCAACGGCAACTTGTAGTATGGACCTTAAAAACGTGTAAAAACTGACAGAATATTTAATACTGGATAGGTATGACTGAAGACACGACCGCGTGTACAATTACGCCGCGAATTGCTTCTTTGTCATTTTCGTGAATTTGGAATGGGATTGGCTCATCGGGACTAGACTGCTCCCTTTGTTTCCATGATTTAAGTATCATGTTTTTTAGGAAAACAGCTCCAGCTTGACGAACAGACAAATCCAACGATTGCTCCAGGACGATTTGAACAAGCGTAGGTGCAAATCCAATAATTTTATGCATCTAGGGCATTTAAGTTCTAATGCAAAAATACCTCAACCAGGAGCTTCTCAGCCTCAGCTTGCTGTTCTGGTTGCAACGAGGCCTGAAGCGCCTGAACTATACGATGAACATCCATAATTCCTCAGTGTAGTAACAAATATGACGTCAGGATAACAACGTGACCGCAGCACCAACAAACCAAGCGCCAGATGAAGCAAAGTAACAAATTTTAACAAAACGCAATGTCATTCAGAACATCGACTTTAATAAGTAGTATCATTTCTACTAGCAACGATTTTTAGAATTTACTTGGTAAACCTATGTAAGTTACTTTAAAATTTTGGTTTCGACCGTAGACATTCGCCGGGATCTAAATTTGTCACGATTATTATAACAACTTATTCTGAATAACTAAAGTTGATGTACAAAGTCACGATGGATGGCTATTTTTATAAAAAGGTAATTCTTATAGTGGATCAAGTTCACAAATTAGACTAAAAAAGTTGATATTTAACAGCTAACTTAAATTCAAACAACCAGGTGAATCCCAAAGATAACATTGCTTTCACATAACCGGATTGTTTACTATGGATTCTATAATTTATAACGGTTGGCATTAAAATTTTAAATGCGTATGCTGTAATGAATTTTTAAAAGACGAGATCCATCGACACTTAAGCGGCGGAAATTCCCAACTGTCTAAGTTTTGATTTGGGACGAGAAATTGATTAAAATGGGACATTTAAGCACATGCAAGGTATCAAGTTTAAATTAAACTCCAAAAATTTCATCATATGGTAAATTAACGTTTACTGTCACGGTTTTTTGAATTGTTAATCTTGCTAAACTTCGATTGACCTAAGTAAAACAATTTCTAAAAACTTACCTTTTTCGAATGCACAAGACTCAGCGACTGCAGTGTATTTAGGGGATTCATTTTGTAAGCTGTTAACTTGGTTAACAGACTAATAGTTAAATAAGATTTGTCTTTGCAAAATGCTTTACGACAACAAGTAATTTTACGAATAGCCGAGACAGTGAGGATTAACACACGATTTCAGACAAAAAAAGTGTTCATATTACTATGACGCTGGTATTGGTCATGTGGGAAGGGATTATAAACAAGCAATCAAACAACGGCAAAAGTTAGGGAAACAATGTATACTCGCCGTAGATCTATTTTGCAAAATATCCAAAGAGATGTTGCAAAAGGATCAACTTACGGATTAAAACACTTGACACAATTTTCTTGTTCTGTATATGAGAATGTAGTCCCCCATGTAAAAATTAGACAGCCAAGCAATTCAAAATCATTGTTAAAGTATTTGGGCCTCTAAGCTTCAAAAGGCTGTGATTTGTACAAAAGGCTAATAAAAATACCATTAGTTTGTGCCATATTTGACACGCTTGACAGATTTGCCAAAAGTATATTTCCGTTCAAAAAAAACTTAAAATTCACCTACCTGTTTAAGGTATATGCTATAAGCATTAAATGTCGGCAAAAACTAATAGAATATAAAATTATTTTACATGAGAATAGATTTGATTCAATAAGCCAGGAAGCTTAACTTCCACAAACTTCCATTGCTTAAAAATTCATTTAGCACGAAGCATAATCTGAATTTGATTGCTCTGCAAAATCACAGACGTATATGAATTATGTATATGATCTTCAAAAATGTGGTTTTAAGAACGCATCGGGTAATCATTGTGTTTCTAAATCCTTTCAATGCAAAAAATATTTCCAAGATGGTAAAATTATACCGTCAAGTTTTTACGACGTGAAAACAAGGTAATATTTCAAAAAACTGAGATGATTGGCAGTTCTTTTAATATATTATCTCGTTGTCACGACGAAAAAATCGAGGATATAATTCTTACCATCTAATAAAAAACTATGCCTTAATTGACAAAATAAATTTTAATCTAAAAAAACATTTGCCCATTCATAGAATAGCATTGTCCGCATTTCAAATGCCTAGATTACAAAATCGCAACCTGTTTTCTTCATTTGTGTTGAAGTCGGTTTGCCATTTTTTTCAAAATGAGTACTATTATTTTGCTTTACTAATTTGTTAAAAGGTTCAAAGGAATGTACAAATTGCTCTTCTCTAATATAATCTACGTTAAATCAGAACCACAAAAGACAGATTTGTAGCACAGCAAACTTGCGATTGCACGGATTCCGTTTCACCATTGAATTGACGCATTGGGAAAATTAAGTTTTGCAGCATCCGTTACATAGAAAGCACAACTTTTAAGTCAAGTGTTAAGAATTTTTTTAACCGTCACTCTGTCTTTGTAATAAAGTTGGTGCCAAAAACACCAATAAATCCCAATTGGAAAAATCACAAAATATAATTTATTTAGGTTAAGCCTTATTAGTAAGGTAAAATGCACACTAACATGTGATAAATTTAGTTTTTTAACTGCATTGTTTTTATGTTTATTAACAGACAAGCAAAAGATTACAGTAAAAATTTTTAAAAATGAACGATCCTTGTTTATCTGCATCTATAGCAGAAGTGAGGTCAGCTGTCGAAAGGCTTTTGCTGCCTCGTACTTTAGTGTTTTGGTTTGTTTTCAGCCGGTTTTACAGAGTTATCCAGGCTTTTACGAATTTCTTTCTTGAATACGCACATTTTATAGAGAATAAATATCTTGTGCGCAATTGGGTTTCACTTTCACAGCACACGAACCGGACTGATGAACTCAAATATGTAAGTTGTTTAATCGAAGTGTATCTTGCCTTCTCTTAGTTATTTCGCTCGAATTTCCAGGCTTTTATTAGGTAAATACGCAACAAAAATCATTAGAGCTATAATGGTGCACTGCCATGATAAATATATCAAAAACAAGCAATATTAGCTGCTATCTTGTTTTTATCTTACGTCCCTCCCTGATCTAGCACCTTACCCCCTTTTGTTTTTAATATTTTGAACAATTTGTGAAGTGTCTTTACTGGGCTGAGTTAGCCCATCCTATTACACTTTCTATAATCGAGATTCATATTCCTCGTTCAGCTTCAGTTATTTAAGGTAGAGTTTTAATATATTACATTAATGGATTTCCATACTGCTAAAACCAACAATACAATATGAACTACTGGATTCTTTTCACAGACATTTCGGCACTAAGCATATTTTCTGTCAGAACATCACTTCCATTCCGCTTTAGTTCGTTTTTCTGCTTTTGTTTAAACACCATTAATCAGCGTTCAGTCCACCAAATCCTTATGTTTACTAATTTAAAACTACGTTAAGTCTACAAAGTTGTACGAAAGATGATCCTGTTCGGTATTGGATTTTTATACTTGTTTATCATGGACGGCTTTGTGCTTCCACTTTTTATTTTTTTTTTACACTTGCACTTGTTGATTTGACCCAATGAAATCTCGAATGTTCTTCATTACCGGTCGCCATAAAGTCATTTTGATTTACTGTAAGCTTTAAATTATTGTATATAGTCTATAAAGTTATTTTACGGTTTTCAGTCAATCAGTCGAACCTTTGGCACCACCAGATTGCACGGGAAGCGCTCTTCAAAAACCGATTCAAGTTGTTCAGCCAATTCAGTCGGCCTGCCCCTCCCCCGTCTCTGTTCAAACTGTTGCTGAGCAAACTGCCTGTCTTAATACACTCCTCGTGGCGACTCCTGCATCGTCACCGATGGTGACTTACTTGGCTACAAGCGGCGCGCTCTCCCTTCCTCAGACTACTAATTGCTTCCAAAATGTTTCTTCTGGAAAACCTACCCCCGCTATGATGTCATCGTCTTCCTACGTCTACCACGGTGTTCCCGTCGGTCAGCCAATCCTCCTTACAGGGTAAGCCACTATCGGCTTCAATGGTTTCAGGTTCATTATGTTGGAGTTGTGTAAATGTGCATAATTCCTCTCAATGTCTTCTACAAATATATATTTAAAACACATGTCACTTTATTCGGTCTTCGAAAGCACCCTTTTATATTTGGTGCCGCTATTTTGTTAAAAGTAGTTTATTGGGGCTGCAAACTAACCTTCGCGACCTCTTGGGTTTATTGGGCCCCCAAAATTTCGAGGTCTTCACATCAATTTTCAGCTTCCAGTTTTACCATAAAATTATTTATTCGCGTTGACCAGAATCAGCTTCACACGCACTCGACTACTAAATTTTATGAACTCAAATGCTTAAAGCCCATATTAATTCATGGATGCGCTGTGATACAAATTGGTGTCAGAGTGTGTTATCCTCTCACCTTCTATTTGAAATATGCACTTTGTGAAGGGCAACTACGCATTGTAGGGGAGGGTCTTTTACCAGCAGCTCGTTGCATAAAGCTCTACTACTGGTTCTTCATTGCATTGTAGTGTCTTAAATTTCTCTGCCCATCTGCCAATTTTTGCTTAAATGTGTCACTGTTCGTACTCTACTTATGTGACCTATGTAGTGATAATATTTTTCTGTTTTAGTACGCCCCAAAGTGGACTCGTGTTCGCTCAGCCCTCCGGAACCCCTATAGGCACCCCCTATATGATTGCACATCCACAGCCCCACTTCCAAGTTCGGGGTAGTGGAAACAGCCAAGGAATTTCAATGGCTGTGCTTCTTGGAACTCCACCTCCTGCTACTCATCCCGGTTTAATTCAGCTGCCACAGCAACCGTCTGCAACCAACCCTATTTCTGCGGCTAGTCAACCAATTGTTTGTGTAAATTCCGGAGTTCCTGTGCAGTCAAATCTTTCTCCTTCCTCATACCCTCAGGTTCGGTATTTTTTAGTCGAATCTCCGTTTTGTTAACATAATTGAACCAACTTTCATGATCGAGGCAGCGGTGAACAGATTACCTTGACTGTGCGCGTATATTAAAACAGCCAATTGTTTGTCTGCAAATGTTACCAATTAAGGCGTGCTAAATCGCTTGCCAATCAGATTTAACATACTAGCTGGTAACCAATTACCATTTACTTTACCACACCCATTTTGCCGAAAATTTAGATTTGCTGATTCGTTAAGAATTACGACCAATACGGTAAGCTTGCTTAGAACGCCATTAATCGAGTATGCGTCCTGGCTTCACTATAATTTAGTGAGGAATATGCATCACTCCTAGCAGCCTCGTCCATGTCGCAGTCTTTGGGGAATTTCTACTTAATTAATTGTTGGTAAGACTGCCCTGTCTTCTGTGTTGATTCCTGATTTTATTGCCACTTCGCTGTAAGAGTAGATGGAGTCCTTTTTGTCTCGATTAACAGTACATTTTCTGGTAAAACTGGACATAGAAGTTTTATTCTGTTTGCCTGTTTTGTGTCTAGTAGAGTTAATATCTTGTAAAACACGTCAAGTCGGTAAAGTTCGTGCTAACGAATCATTTATCCCTCTGTTGCGCAATGTTACCTGATTGGAACACATGAGCAGAGCCAAACACGACAACAGGAACTTTGATCAGCCAGTTAAGAATAACAATAAAGATTATTCATGTACGCAAATCTGTTTGGTGACGGCACAAGTGTGTTTGTTTGTATTTACTAACGTCTAAATGAGTCCTTGCAACCTGCGTATTTTTGTGCTTAGAGTGGGGTCACGTGATCGTACTGTAAGACGAATCACCAGGATTTATTTCTCGTCGCGGTTTCATTGACAGACTATTCATTGTCTTCTTAATTATAAGCCAGACATTCCGTTTTTAGTGTTAGTAGGCTTTTTACCGATTGTGAAGGGCCCGTTCACAGAAGTAAACACATCCAGCAAATGCAGTAGGCCTGTTTTTTTGTTTATTCCAATGCATGCTGCAACCTGTCAAAGGTATTTCTAATTTGATCGGAAAAGTTTTTTACTTGTTTTTCATTCTCTCGGTTTGTGCACCTCGCTAACAATTTTGCCTGGGTTCCTTCGCTGGGTCCAAGAGACGAGAATTCTCCATGTCTTTAAGTGCTGCTTTCTACGATTGAGCTCCTAACTCAGCTGCACGCTTGTGCCAACACAAGTTTAGTTCTCGCTTTGACCTGATACTGTTAAGGCTGCTTCTACATAGGGCTCCAAAAACACACCTGTCCCCTTGTGTAAGTTCTGAAATGCAGGCAAGGTGAGGAAGCATTGTTGTCCTTCAAATTTCGTCTGGTGTGCGCCTGACGAAGTAGATGAATCGTGCTTATGATCTTCAACACCTGAGAGCAACTCGCTGTTTGACATACCACTGTAATGCGAAACACATGGCATGAATCTGCCTCGAAGTCTGTTCTGCTTCACCTTCGGTTCGTGAGCCTAGCCTAGATTGGGTCAGAAACTCTTTCCACTATCACTTGGCGGAAGGGTGGAATATTCGTAGCCTGACAAATTTTGCTAGCAATTATGACTTAGTCTTGAGTCTGTTAATTATAATAGTCGTACCAGTGGTTTGCAATTTCGGATGGTGGTGCTTTGTGGTGGATCGGATCTCATTACTAATCGGTGAGTGCATGAAATTGGTTATGCAAGTGTGACCAGGTCCGTCAGGAGCGCAAGGACTTCCTTGTCTTGATTTGTCTCCAAGATCGAATGGTCGCTCGAGAAGCCCCCAGAACTCGATCCGTACTAGTACCGGCAGTGCTACAAATCCCCTCTGTTGATATTAGTTGCGTCCAATTATTTTGACCCGTGAAGAGTAAAATGTCACTGAACAAGCGTTTGCAACTGTTTTAAACTACTTTAGCGATGCAGGGATTCTGCAAACTTAGGCAAAGCACAAACAGGTCTGTGCCAAATAAGCTGTATTGTGTTTCAGTTTCCAATGTAAGGCAGAGAAGAAGGCATTAAAGTTTGGTAGTGAATGTACGATTCGATGTTTTCTCCTGACAAAGTGATGCGACGAAACGTCCGTAACCTGAATGCAATAGATGCTGCCGTGGATTACTTCATATGTCGTCGAATCTGCTCTAACACACTCTTTCCTCTCACTGTCGTTGGTTTTTTTCCAATTCGGTGAAGGACCTTGTTCTGTGGTGTCTTTCTATTATTTGCGTTTGTGTTGCATCTTAAGGCACTGTGCAGCGAAATTCACTAACCCTGAAAAGGCCTACCTGAAATGCATTAATGACTGCTTTCCTGTTATTCTTCAAAGCGGTCACTTGTAGTAATTCAGGCCTAGGTTTTGCCTTAGGTTCTCACAGCCTGCATCCTAAATGTGTCACGGCATTTTCGCCTGGCTGCTGGTATGTCGTGTTTGTACTTCACGTGGCTGTGTGCATGCGCCAGTGTGTGTGTGTGTCTGCATAATCATTGTGCACACCTGATACATCACAAACCCCACTTGTGGAGGGTCGTATCTGACAGCATCGTAATCGCTAGACAAATCAAGGCCTCACGCTATCATTTTGAAATTATTTACAAGCACTCCATGAGTGATTACTTTGTTTAATACCAGTTCGACTGTTAGAAGAAGTAAGGTAGTGCTCGCGGGTCATGACGTTAGCAGTTTTATCGCGAAGCGCTATCATGGTTTCGCGTCTAATCGCAGTATTAAGCATTAAGTAAAATGGCTCCATTCGCGTGTTTTTTCATTAAACAGTCGATCAATTTTTACAAAACGACGTTTTTACTAAGCCAAAATGGCTAAACTACTGGATCGTGCAAAGGTCATGTCTGCTTCCACATTAACAAGGTAATATAACGATTGTATGTGTTTCCAGGCCTGGGAAATTCGTGGTTTTTTTAAATTGAATTTATTTCTCAGAAACTCGAAGTTATTGTTTCCTAAATCAGTCTCTTTTATCCCCTTATTTTCCATTCACTTGCGATTAGACGTAAACTAACGTGCTTGTTGTTTCCGAATCCTCTTCTCTAGTCTTCTTGGGATGTTGTCTGGATCAAATATTCGGTGATGCATTCGCATTGTCATGTTTCGGTTGCATCGAGTTATTGAATAATTTAGCATTATTTTCAAAATTTCCTACAATTTGAAGGAGCATATTCGAGGAGCACACAAGAGTCTGAATCGAGCAGCTAAATTGGTGCAAACACGTGCATGTCTAACTGGGGTTAGTTTTCGTGCGACGCTAAGCTTGTCACTAACGCTTGTTTTTGGACTTTGACTACAACTATGTCCTGTCTGGCACTTGTGCGCGCTACACAGCTCGATTTTTTATGATGAACGTTTATGTCAAATCGTTTTCCCAATGTATACACCGAAGTACCTGCATTTACATAGTCCTTTTAGTTAATAAACAAACAATAAAACAGGAACCAACTTTATATTCGTGGTGTTTTGATCTGTCCAAGGCAGCGAGACTGCATCGGTTAATATTCGTGTATGTGCCAATGTAGATTCACCCGGGTGTGGCGGTAGCACGTTTCCCCAATGGCTGCCCTATCGCCCCAAACACCTCTTCTTCCGTGACCAGCTCTGCAGCGACGATGACAAATACGGTGAGTAGTGTGCCTGCCTCAACCCCCACTACCATTAGATCCGACTCACCGACACCGGAAGCTGTGCTGCAACAGTTGAACAAGGAGATTGCCGGACTCGAACGCCTGGCGCGCACCAACACCCCGCTCACCGGACAGCAGGCCACGCGGCTGCAGCGACTGATATTCGCTCGTGACCAGGTCCTGCAGTCGCTGGCGGCGAAAGCGCGCACCACGGGCGTGAGATGCGCCCCGCCTGCCGTCTCCGCTCTAAGACCTCGTCCTCCGGTCCCCACGGCTGCCTCTATTCTTCCAGCTGTTGTAAGTAAACCCGGATTAATTAGATTGCCCAAAAATATCCACCTGGCTCCCGGGTCATGAATTTCTGGAATCCTTGAGTATGTAACGTGATGACACTGGAAATAATTCCGTCGGCTATTAACACTACTCCCGTCACAAGTTTATCCCGTTGAATTAACTCTCTGAGTGAATTGAGCTGCTTTTGAGCGAAGGATCAGTTGCGAATTTCTCACAGGCCGAAGCCTTTCTAGTGACTATTGCAAACATTTTCTAAACACCATCTAAATGGTTTTTGAGCGACCTTCATCTTTCTTAAGCGGACTTATCAACAACACACTAGTTACTTGAACCGAGGATTCGTGCCGTAACGTAATTATTACATTTTATAAATACTTACCGGCATAAGTATTGCCCTACCTTAAATTGCATACACGTTACGGAGGTTTCACTGGGCGTGACTGCCTAGGAATTCGGCTCTATTGTTTGTTGGGACAAGTCGATTAGTGAGTCAAGTTTAAAGTCAGTCTGACGTGTTTATTCCTGCCAAAATTTGTTACCTGTTTTCACGAAATATGCTCACAAGAACACTTTACCACTAACTTGTGGATCAGAACTCATTATAAGTCGTTAAAATGAGATCACTCTCTCTCTCTCTGATCATTTTAGTAAAGGTCTTTACTTAGACATGAAGTTCCATATGTTCGCACTAATTTCGGGCATGAGAGTTGCATGTTTTTCTTTATATTCTCCTGATAATTAATCCCCAAGTTCCATCAGGAAGGTGTTTTCATTGGGGGGCTTATTCTGATAAATCACGAAAACATTCGTGGTAGTATTTTTCCCTCTTTCGAAAATTTAACAGTACCTTATTTTGGCAAGGTAAAAGATCAGTTTTGACTTAGACCGGATTTGTTTTTCCCAGCTGCAAAAGGAATGTAAAGGCTAATTATTTTGATCCTCGATGACAGATCGCGTATAAATGGACGCAATGCTCTGCGGCGTCGTTATAAATCTCCTAGGTGACCTCAAAAATGACGGATGGTGTCGTGGCATTTTTGCAGTCGATGTGTACATACCGCTGGCGATTTGTGGCGGCTGCTTTAAAGTCTCTCAGTTTAAAAAAAAGGGGTTTTGTTACTCTCAATTACGCTCACCACTTAATGAATGGCTCCTAAATTTTGTGCGAACCAGAGCTTCATTTTTCCCAAACGTCCCAACGGTCGACGAATAAGCCTGCTCTCTTGGCCCTTAGCTGCAGACAATGGATCCGATTGTAGTTTGTTTACCTAGGTATTTTCAAATGTGACTTGGCGTGATTTTGTTTTCGTATCGCCACCCTTGTGAAAATACATGGTCTACAAGCCCTGATTTTTATCAATTTTTGAAGTCTTACTAGCTGCGGGGATTATTGCTCACACCACACCTCTGCCTTCGAACAATCCATTTACCTTCTTTTGCTAATTCACGCTTGACGATTGTACATTAGGCCTCGTATTGTATGGTTCAAACATGTCACAGCGTGTAACTTTTGTCGTGTTAATCTTTATTTATTGGTTGTTTTAATGCCAATTCTCACTAAACGCTGCTTACAATTTGTCCACTGTTGGAGTGGTGCGTACTTCGAACGTTTTTGGACCTGGCCAGTTGCAAGGCCACCACTGTTTACACAATGAGTGCTGTTGGATTATGTGACTTGTTTTCATTCACACTTCCAATTCCCTGTTTTAGTGTCCTTGTTTTCCTAAAGCTGTATCTAGTAATAATTAATTGAATTTCGGCTCTTTGTTAGGGACTTAGTTTACTTTTTTTAACCCACTATGAGCCACGGTGAATCTTTATCCTCTGAAGTGTACTTTAATTCGCCCCAACATTAATATTTACTTCGTTTTGAAGTTTAATCAGGAAGCTTATTTAAAGATTTCAGACATCCTCCGTTAACACCAATTCGGTAGCACGCCGAAAGGCCTTGTAGTGCCCAATGAACTAACTCGTTTGTATGGATATCGCGTTTAGTTTTGGGGACCTTAGTTAAACCCCTTAGTTGTCTAGCATCGTTCGCTGCCGTCACCTTTATTTAACCACAAATCTTTGTGAATCAAAATGCACTCTGCAAATAAGTCCTAAGTGGGGCATTGTTTCTTTCACCGCAGTCTTTTAACTCAGTTGCTGTGAGGATCGCTGTTGTGTCTGGTTTGGGGACGATCTATGCTATGCTTGTATGCTAAAATTTGTCGTGGATTGTCGTTTTGCGCGGCTTTGGGCGTACTGCTTGGGCATCTTCACTCCACGCCTAAATACCTCTGTTTCAAATTTGCCCTGAGTTGTTGCTGTAGAGCGCACTGATTTGCCTGCAAATGCCTTGTCAGAAGCTAATGTGGGCCTCACACCTTCTACCCCTCCTGTCACCCAGTGCACCCCAGCCCGAACTCGGCGACAGAGCACTGCGCTCAGCCTGACCAGTCTGAGGGCGTCTGTGCGTCCCCTCCGGCAACCCATGGTAAGTTCTCCTCCCTCCCCCTCCCCCCGACCTGTGTTGCCCGGTTAGTGTTTGGAGATGGCCTTCTCCCGTGCTATCGCTTTGCTCTCGCTTGCTACATCATGGCGTTTAAGGTCATCCTCCCAACTTCACAGTCAGGTCAACTTGTTTGTCCCATCTGAGGCGGATCCCGTTGTCCCTTTTCCGTCTTCTCTCCATTCATCCATCTCTTCCCGTAGCGTCCGCTTTTGCTTGTTATGTGGCATTAGAGCCTTCATAAAGAAACTAGCTACTTCCGACAATATCCAGGGAGTTAGCGCTCACAAATTTTGTATGGATTGCTCCATATTTAGACGTCGTTGTATTGGCTTTTACCTTCCGTAAAAGTCACCTAATGGAGAACTAGATCTGCGCAAATTTTTAAATTCAAGAAGCCTTACCAGACAAGGCTATTTTACTACCAGTGAATTTCCACCTGTTCATTGTGTTCTGTTCAGCCATCACCGTTTGAAGTTGGTGTTGTTTTGCAACATCCAGTAGCTGCACACCAACCTCGATTTGACCGATTTTCGTACTGTCTCTGCTAAGTGCTAAGTTGGTTTGGTGTTTGAGTGTGTTTATTGCCACGCTCTCCAGTGCTGTTTCGTGCGCAGATATTTCAACCATTGTAACCAGACGTTTTCCATTAGGCCAGTTTGAGTGGGAATTCCACAATGCAACCAAGACTTGCAAGCCCTGGTGTTCAGCAGTCTAGTTCGGTAAGCCAATTCACTGCCCTTCTTGTCTTCCCATTGTATTATCCAATTCCTCTTACCTTTACTGGTTAGCAAATAAGACAGGTCTCGGTCGTGACGAGATGGGTTGGTGTGATTGAAGACAGATCTAGTGCTAATCGCGACACCTTTGGCCTGAAAGCTTATGGTTTTGTGCATAATCGCTCTCTTGGACTGGCGCGTCATTCATTTGCACCTTGCTAAATACTTGCGTCTCCTTATTTGTCTCATTACACTGCATAGTTGCTCCTGTGTTTTGCGGTCGCAGTGGGCTACGACGCCTCGATGAGGTGGTTGGTCTCTATGAGCGTCACCTGATGCTCCCGATAGTAGGTAATGCTCACACGGTAGGAAGATGCCCTCAATTGATGTCCGGTGACTTGTAGCACTGTGTTAACTGGCATTTTTTGCCCATTTTCTGAACTGGTAATTTCATTGAGTCTTTGGTTGCTATTGTCGTCAAATTCAGACCAACCCAGTTGGCTCCAGCATGCTTGTGCCTCGTTTGAGTTCTCCCATTCGACCTCAGTCCGTAAGTTCCGAGGTTTCCGTTTGTAGTTATTTTAAATTGCTCTAAAGCTTGCTTGTTCTGGTAGTTATGTGACCTATTTTGACGTTTTTCCTCAAGGTCTCCATTAAAGTATCTTCTTTTCATGCACCTTTGAGGTTTTCCGTGTTGTCCGTTGGCTTGTTTTTGTGCTTGCCCTACTATTTTGTTTTGAGTAGCACACCAGATTTGTGCACTATGAATTTGAAATCTGTAAATTTGTACCGGAGGCTTTCAACTTTCCACCACAAAGTTTGTGTTTTTTTCCCTATAACCTAAAAAAAGCAGAACTCTCTGTATGTAACTTGTCAACTTTACACCGAATTCTTACGTTTGGGAAAATTTCTCCAGTCTTAGCATATAAAATGAAGTACCGTGTCTAATTTCAGGCCTGAGTCTTTGTATGGTTTCTTGTACGACTGATAAAATATTACCTATGACACATCGGGAGTAATTTTTATACAAATTGTACGACCATATTCTTAGGAGTCCACTCCAATCGCCTTCCGAGGCTTGAATAGCAGACCACCATGTCAAGTTCGAAGTAAGAATGTGGTTAGGCCATCTATTGTGCGGAAACTTCGTGTTGATCGTGACTGTCGCGCCTATTTTAGCGCACCGAAGTAGTCAACCTCTTGGTGAAGCACCGCCTCCTACCAGTCAACAACGTTGCGACTAGCGGCGAGAGCTTCTTGGTTGAGTTCCGCCTCACCTCGCACCGCTACCACCTCTGGCTTACGCGGGCACAGAAGGTCGATCTGGAGCAGCTCCTCCTCACCTTCTCGAGCGCCCAGCGCAAGGCCGAGATCCTCATGGTGTACCAGGAGGAGCAGACGCGCTTCTTCGCCACCCACCCTCGGCCCTCTGCGCCGCTGGCAGCTCACCTGCGCCTCGTCCGTCCGCCGCACGTGCAGCAACCGCCGCCGCCGCAGCAGCCACCGCCGCCTCTTCCCGGCGCAACCATGTGTGTTCTTGCGCCCATGGCTCCAAACTCGCTCCAGAACACCAGTCTAACTGGAAATATGGCTAACCGTCCCGGTAAATTCGTGTTTTTTGGCTCTTGTGCGCCTTGGGCTATGCACCCCTCCTCACGCCCCAAGTAAACGTTAGTTGGTGTATGTAATCTTATCAAAATCACCAGCACATTATTGTGCAGACTCCCTCGGTGTTCATCGTAAACAGCCTACTGTGATGTTTTTAGCTTTAATTTGTCTTGCTCCATTTTAACTCGTTAAACGTTCTCTCATTAGGCATGTAATACAAGAATCTCTGAAAATGAGGGGAATGTGTTTGGCTAAGTTGCATCCTTTCAGCGTTGACAGCCCATATCCGAGAGGCGTTTTAGGTCTCCCTTTATCTCCTCCTCATAATTGTCTAACCATTTAATCAATCTCTTTGTTTACGAATATCTGTATTTCAACTCAGCATCGACACCCACTCTCACTCCCACCACGAGCTCACCTGTGAAGGCGCCTTCGTTTGGTTCGCCGGCGTCGACTCAGGCCCCGACAACTGCTGCATCGAGTCCGGTGTCTACCGCCACCCCCTCGAATCCGTCGTCCTCCCAGTCACCGCTGAACCAGCCGTCGGTGCTCCAGTCACGCAGACTCACCGCCGTTCGAACCATGCTGCACGCGGATCAAGTAGCTGCTGTCTCCCGTCCACAAGTGTCGATCTGCGGAGAGGAACCCGAACGGGCTCTTCCCTCTGTTGCAGAAATGATCAGCCTCCTTGCCCCCTATCATGTTAATCAGGATATGGATAACACCCAAGAAGCCCTGGATAAAGGTTTGTGGAGAAAAATTCGGTGGTCGGGATTCACCTGAGTACACGCCTAGGATCCATAATCGAGTTCTGTTGTATCTTGTCACATCAGGTCATTGAAACAGAAGAAAAATTCGCATGGATTTTCAAATCCCTGGTTTTCCATATGCTGCTGCTTTTCATTAGTGAAACGTAGAAGACTATAGTTGTTGGCATATTGACTCAAGTAGGATATTTTCAGGATGTCGTTATTAGCTACTTAGTTCTGTGGATGGGTCCCTTAGATTTGAGCTCATGACCGCTGATATCAATCCCTGCGGTGTGGTGTACCTGCACTGGTATCTGCGCATTGAACGCAGACGCTTTGAACCTTCGTCGCGTCTCGTCTTAGTTTGTCCATTAGTCTGTGGAAAACGAAACATTTGATGCACGCGTCTAATTTTTTTGCCCTGCCCGCCCTAAATGTTTGTTAAGTCTTGCAGAGCATGCGCACGTGGGCGGGTTTTAGTACGTACTGATTGAAATCCATCGCTGTACTGTGTCGCATTGCCTTTATTTTTCTCCTTATAGTGGATAATGTTCTTGACAAGGCATTTCATCAACTTCACACAAGAAAAAAACAGACTGAGGATGCTATTCTTTCCATATTATATGCAGAAAAATGGGTAAGCGCACGAATCTCTGGTTTTGTTGGTTGTGCTACTTATCCTAGTGCTTCAGGTACGTAGCAAATCAGCTGTTAATGATTGATCAGAGTCCGTTAATTGCCTGCTTGCACCATCATTTAATGTATTATGTGGAACCCGTTTAAGAGGCATCATATCCTGTGGAAAGTTTATAGTTTTGCTATTTTTAGGAGAAACGTTCGCTTGATTCGTGTGTAGAGGGGGTGTTGATTTTAGCTGCTACACCACGACCTAACAAACCTTTTGTTTGGGGATATTCCTGTTGGCGCATGGCCTAGGTCGATTTTTTGCCGCCAACTCTTCTGTGTAGTTACCTGTCTAAACAGCCCACACAAACCTTTGAACTGATGCGAATGCGGATTTGGTTTACGTGCACGTGTGGACGTTTCTTATTTTCCGCTTACGTTGTATGCCTGTGTTATTCACCATTGGCTCTTTTTTTAACTTCCAGCAACAAATGGACTGTCCTCTGTCGGACCGCGTGTTTCTCGCGCGTCTTTCCCTAGAAAGCGACCGTGAACGCTTCGCCTCCGAGAGATCTGCCTATGAGGAATTGAGGTCCCGTTTGGACGCCGAGTCTCCCCATTTGTCCCCTAAGCGAATACGGCTTCTTCTGGATGAGGCTTCACCCGATTTTATTCCCCTTGAATTTGATGATAAGGGTAATTCCCGAATAGCGACTCTTCGTCTAGAAGAAGAAGAAGAAGAAGAAGAAGTGGTAGTAGCAGACGAAGGAGTAAGAGAAATGAAGGAACCTACACAGCCCCTGATGTTTGATGAAGAACAGTGTCCACAATTGAAACCTTTCCTAAAGTGCGAGGAATCAGTGGAAGAAGGTGCGTGGCCAGAGTGGGAAGAGGAGGAAGGTTTTCAGTCACCCAACACTCCGGAGGTGGATATCGCCAATCTTGTTGTCGAGGAAGATGACGTAGTGGAGGCAAGCGAGTTTGGCAACCAAGATCGGAGTCGCGTTCTGTCTCCAATCATAGATTTGGAAGCCTCTGAATTGTCAAATGGTCTCCCGATTGTGAGTCCAAAACACGACCTCCCAGTTTCGGCTTCTTTTGCTTGATTGATTTTCGAGTGAATTTCCGGACAATTCTGCTTCTTGATAAGGTCTAAGGTGTCCGTCTTAGGTTTGATTAATTTATGTTATTTCTTTGATTTTTAAACTTTTGGGACGACATCATAACTCAAACATATCATCACATTACTTCTAGCCATTCATTTGCCGTTCAGTGACTTGCCTAAGATCCACATTTAGTAATAGAGAACTGGCATGCTTTGATGACTCAATGAGGCTATTACTAGCACAGACTTTTGATAAAACAAAGCTCTAGTTGCCTCTGTTCTGCAAACCCGTGTTCGCGAATTGTAGGATGTTCTGACTCCCAGAGATGCATTGGCGGAAGCCGCTTCGGTGGCAGAGGCATCAAAGGCCCGATCCCTTTCGGACGTCCCCCCTACACCGGACGGTGACGCGCCTTTCCAAAGGCTGCGACACTCCGAAGACCCCACAATCGATGCTGCTATCCGAAGCATAATCGATTTGTAGTAATGTGTCTAATACCCACTCCCCTGTCCACTTGTTTGCCTCGTTTGTGTACATATGGATTGTGTAATCTCGCCTTTTGTTCTGTACTTTCAGATGCTGTGTATACTTATTCAAATTTTGTAACTTGTGATCCCGCGCTCTCCTGTCCTTCTCCAACTTCTTATAACTTCCAAATGTATGATACAAAATGTAGAATAAAGGGCACTGGGGCTTTTATCGCCCAATTTAATTGTCAAATCAAGTCTTGTGTATTTCTAACATTGCATGTGATGTGGCTGTCTGGAGCACCTAGGCACTTGATTCACTGACGAATAGTGTTGCGACGAAGCGTATTTCTTGGGTGATTGCTCCTCATCTGGACAGAAAGTTCTAAGATAGAGTGTCTAAGCGAATGAGAGTCAAGTATCGCAATAAGCACCAATGGAATGAAGCCTAAACGTGAGCTTAAATCCAGAACGTATTGGTTGTAAAATCGGGACATAGATTTAGGAATTTCAGGTGAAGTTAGACACCCCGGAATTATCTGCTTGGAGATGGTTTTAGCTGCCGATTATTAACGCAGTTTTATGGCTTCTAGCTGTTGGTTGATTTTTGGCTCCTCATTAAAATCGCTCATGTTTTCGTTTCGATTTATTATTTAAGCCTTTGCGTTTAATGTGTTGGACTGGATACTGTTTTCTGATGTCTAACCTTCAGCTCGGTGTCGCCCTACTCACTTCTCATAAACATCGAAATCTACACGATGTATGGTAGCTCTCCAAATAATTTAACACTAGCTCACCGTCGATTCAACCACAGGATCACTGTGTGTTCACGCCTAGTATTTTCCTCACCTGGAAGTATTCCCACTACACGCTTTGTGTGTGCAACTTTTCGACAAGACCCTCCCTTAATGCTATGCTCCACGTATGTGGCTGATGGCAAGCGCTCCTGCTTTAAATGAGCACATCAATAAACCACTCATCTGGCATTCCTGATTTAACGTTTTTGCAACTCCACTCACGGTGCCTTAAATTTATGGCGCTGATACGGCTACTCGGCTAGGATAGCTTTCTCGATCTCTCTGCCACACGTGTGTGCCTGCAATAAAAAAAAAGCTACTGCTTTCCACACATGGGCTCTGATTACTGAGTAGAAAATCCGAGGGCATTTCTCCGTGACGGAATTGGATAATGTAGGGGCCGTTTCATATAGTCATTTATTGTGAAGGGGATCTGAGTAATCTTAAAACTGAATCATCGAACGCTGTGCCGTGTTCATTGATGCTAATAGTGAATGCCACGCAAACTCTAATGTCAGATGTTAACTATGCCTCTGCCTACACAAATCTTTCTATCATTAGTTCCTTTTAATCACTGTAACATCAAGCACTTGATGGCTCAACAAGATCGAATCCTCTCTTGTCAGGTCGATAAAGCGGACGAAAGTGGTTTGTCCGGATCGGAGCATTTTGCTGACGGTGTGGAAAGTTGGTTGAAACACGAAACGGCTACTCGCAACTCCACAGCAGAATGGCAAACGTTCACTCACCGAGCCCGCGAATTTGTCAGAAAGTTTGGACAAACTCAACGAATAGTCTGCATCACGTCGGGAGGAACCGTGGTTCCGTTAGAGCTCAACACCGTCCGATTTATCGACAATTTTAGGCAAGTAAAGTGATGCCTTGAATAATTTTCAGTCCACATCACTAAAAATCGGTCAAATGAGGCTGTCGGTAATCAATTTTCGCTTTGATGCTTTCATTTAGTAGATGAATGCTCCAACCACTAGCCTCGTGTGCTACACTTTGTGCGCCACGCGGGTAATGGTAGGAAATTCTTACGCCCCCGCTTCTCCGATTTCAGGTTTATACTTGCGTTTATGTAAAAATTTTCGCGATTCGCTCCCTTCACGCAGATGCAATTCATCTTTTTGATAGATTTAATTCATGTGATTTAACTCCTGGTAAGATTTTGAAACATAGATAGCTTCTCGCGGCGGTAAACATACTCTGGGAATCTGAGTTAACGTAACCCCGGAATCCTTTTCCCATCCAAGGGTCAGTATTCCTAACCTAGAAGATTTCACTGATCATACAGTTCCTGTGTCGGTTGTAAAATGGTAATCTCCAAACCCAGTATCGATGATGCTGTGTAGTTAGCACGAAAACAGTCTTCACATCATGTGGGAAAATCGATAGCATTGGGGAAGTGGTTGCTCGGGTAACTTCTTTGTCACTTGAGCCACGTGATTCGGAGCTGAGTCCGGCTGTCAGTCTCTTTCAGCGTGAGATTTACTTCCTTTCGCACCACCTCAAATGCAATGTTCGATCTTGATCAAATTCCGACTCTTCTGCTTTGTTACCCCCTTGATGGCGTCGAATTTTTCTGATTCACTGGCTATCAAAAATCGAAAAATCCCCTACTCCATGCTTGGGGCAAACGCTAATTCGTTGTGGTGTACCAGGAGGATCAGGCCTCCCGGACAAGGCATCCCAGCTCATGCTGTAGTGGACCTCTGAAAGCACCCACAGTGCCCTCCACGCACAAACTGCGAATTTCGGTCAATGTGAATTCGCATCAACCTATTGCTCAAACATGATTTTATTAAACGTCAGACTACCTGCGCGCATGACATACTTCCCAAAATATTCTATGAACCATTACGACACCAAATCATTGTCCATTTTACCAAGTGCTGCTAGGGTCCGTAGCTGCACATTTGGCTTTCTGCATCGTAAATTTTCCATCCTGCGTGCTGCTGTGCTCTGCCCAGCCTTGTTTAATTCACATAAAACGGGCTGTTGTGTGATCACTGGTACAAGCACACCGTTACCCGACCTTAGTGGCGCTCGCTTCCTGTAGCGTAGTAAGCGCGCACACAAAAAGACGTCTTCTTCTGCTGCTGCCGTGTAATCGGCTAACTTTGTGGGTATTTTAACGTGGGAGCTTTACACTCTATGACTCACATGTGATAAAAAAAAACTACCTCATTTTTCAGTCAAACCTGCAGCTATTTTGACAACCTGCCGCAGCATTCTCGGGGTCAGTAATGCTAGATTTTTCGCTTGCCTCACTCGCTGACACGTGGAGAATGGCGTTCAGTGGTTGTGGGCAAAAATACACGAAGATAGTAGTGGAAAACTCAATAAAACTATACTTTCCAACTTTGACAACTTCTCAAAGGCCTTATTTCTTTATCCTTGATTTTCAAAAGTAGGATGATGTTAAGACCCGTCTTTGAGTTACCTCAACGCCTCTCAACTTAGCCGTGTTCCATGTAGCTTATTTCGGGTTCTGTACTCAGAATATCACACGCACTATAACGGATTTACGATCTGCAGGATCTGGAATCAGTGATTCTGTGTTTCGATGTTTACCCCAACTCTTTGGCAAACCATTTTGCTATGCCTCTAGCACCGGTGCTCGCGGCGCTGTGAGTGCAGAACACTTCTTGAAGTTGGGCTACGCGGTCATTTTCCTGCACCGCCGGGGCTCCCTCACGCCCTTCACGAACCGCCTGTGTCCCCCTGGCAGAGGCACCCCATCGATCGAGGACTGGTTCGACCTGGACGATGCGTCAGATCCCGACGGAGGCGCCTCTCGGGACGCCTCCCTCCAGCCCGAACTGCGTCCGAAGTTCGCCCAACGTGTCTGTGAGGTGGTCAGGAGTTATGCGCAGTTCCGTGAGTTGGTTGTCGCCTGAATGTGCGGGGAGTACGACGTTGTGTTGAAAGAAACTGGAAAATTACCCTGAAATCCAATTTCCTCAGATCGATAAAAAAATAACAGCGTTTAAAACCCACAAGGGAAATTTATCGCGAATTGAACTCTGGTATCTTACTTGGCAATCCTGCAGTCTAGTGGAGTCAGGTTTTTTTACATAACTAAAGGCCTAATACTCAACATCCTGTGATTACTCCACATCATTAGCGCCCCGTTTTTGAGATTGATGAAAAATGAATGGAACCACTTTTAGCGGCTGACGCTGATGTCGGCGGATTGCCAGATTTCTCAAGTCAGTCCACCGTCACTTGACGGCTTAACAAACTCAGCATAATCGAATTTGTTTACAATCTGGAAAAGGGGGTACCGTTCGACGCATATTTTCTGGTTTACGGCGCCCTGGAGTGTGATTTCGTGTTTAAATGTCATCTAACACTGTAGTCAAGTGGAATTTTGCTGTCACACCTACGCGGCTATCGGTTTCTCTAACAGCAAGTACAAGATTAAATGCATTAGCTCGATGTGTTGCTCCAAGACCACCGCTGATGGAGCCTCGGCGTGATTTACGCAAATCTCCCACGTGGCATGTCCACATTGTAGGTGAGCGTTTGTTGTTGCTCGACTTCCTTACCGTTGAGGAGTACCTGGTGCAGTTGCGGTGGCTGTGTCACCTGCTCTCCGAAGACGGCCTCTGTCTGGCCGGCTCGATCATCTACCTGGCGGCTGCTGTCTCCGACTTCTACATTCCCCGCGACCACCTGCCGCGGCACAAACTCCACGCGGGACAGAAGCCTGAGGAGACCGGAGGCGGAATCATCCGCTGCCACCCGAACGGGTCACTGACAGTCCACCTATCACCAGTCCCAAAGCTCCTTGGGCTGATCTCGACTAAATGGGCCCAATCGTCTCTGGTCGTCAGTTTTAAAGTAAGTGTGTCTCTGTGCGTGTGTGTAGTCAGAAAACCCTGTTTAATCGATTCGGGCAGACGTTAGCCCTATTTGACGACCACGATGATTTATTTGACTTAAAAGTGCAACTTTACATCACAACCGGTAACAAGTTCATATTCTGACATCGCAATTTGGAGGGTCGCGATTCTTGTCTTAGTACAATCGTTAGTGTTTAGCCGTGGTACAACAAACGCATCATCTTCTGATTTACACTTAAATGGGCAAAAGAACGTACAGATTGTAGCGCACCAGTTACACTACGTACACTACGGCTTCCCTCGTGCTTGGGTATTTGGTCCGAGAATGATTAGCTGAAGTAACCTAAAGCTATTATCAAATGTGGCAACTGTTAAAAAGATTAGTAATCAATGAAAATATCTCCATTTAGCTTGAAACGGACGAGTTTCTCGTCCTGAAGCGAGCGGAGGCAGCCCTTCGGAAGTACCATACGCACGCGGTGATCGCGAACCTCCTGCACACACGCAAAGTGGAAGCCTGGCTTCTCCACGCCCTCGAAGGAGTTCCTACCGACGCTAGCATTTCCTGTGAGCATCTCTCAGTGACCGAATACCCAGACGAGGAACTCGAAAAGGTTCTCATCGACCGTGTCACCCAGCTTCACACGAATTTTATAGAAATACGAAAGAGAGCCGCGGCCTATGAAACCAGTTGACCTATTCTAGAACTTTTGACTGGTTGAATTACTCAATTTTAATATCTTTGGGTTGTGTTTTTTGGATCCAATATGCCTTCTTTTTTTTGAAAAGTTTACAAAATAGAGTGAAACTGTCTTATGTCGAAGTTTACCATTAGAGCAATTGTCCTCGCATAACGTGGAAGTCGCATTAGCAGTTGTCTCACGAATTCGCTCTCCTAACCAGTAATCCGCGTGCTCCTGGAGGCTAACAGTGTTCTCCTTGCTGCACATTGCGAATTAAACGCAGGCCCTTCAAGTGCACCTGGACCCCTGAAGTTGACAATGGAGCAACACGCCGGGGAAGTAACCTAGTCCGCAACAAACTCGAATTTTTCTAAACCCTTAACAACAAGCACCCTTAACTCAATTAAGGAGACGTGAGCATAGCAAAAATGTAAGTGTACGTATACTGGGGATCTGACAGGCAAGCGACATAAACAGGAAACACAAAGAGTGGGAGGGGGCGTGTCGGTCCGCGTCCGACGCATGACGCCTTGTCAACTAATTTCTAAAACAGGAAATACAGTCGGTAAATTCGACTCATACTCGTAGTGACACTGCTCCAACTGCAGCCGAAACACAAAGCCTTACCTCTTAAGTATCTCCCGAGCGCGCGCGATGCATGCGTGAAAGTGAGCAAGATCCTGTTCGTTCTGGAAATAACAGGTGCTGACGTTACTTTATGAAACAAGTCGGAAAGTGCAGCGACAATCATGTAGTAAAAGGCCAACATGCGAAAAAACATGTGACATTCAATTATCAACCTCCTTGGTACTGCGGTGGTGACTAAATAGGGCATCACAAGGTTGTATATGACATGCATATAATTGCAAGACAAGGGAGCTTCGTGCTTAGGGCCGCAAATACAACGAGAGCTCAATTTTAGGTAGTCACTAGAGGAAAATGAGGGTTAATATTAAAAAAGTAGCTGTTGATAAGGAAACCAAGAGAAAACTTGTGGAGTTATACTTCTTACTTCAGTGGAGACTGGAACCCATGCACTCTAGTTTTACGGCATTAACGGACCCATAATAGGAGGCAATTGGTCTGATCCGCAACGGTATAGAACACGCCCAAGGTTAGGTTAAGCATATGCACGCAGGCTTACTTAAATGTGTTAGGGTATTACTAGGCCATGCAGGGGTCCTTCACTATACTAGAATGGTGAAACCAAACGCCTATGCGTTGAAAGCAGTTGATGGAAGCATTTCAACACGTTTTACTCCCGTGTAAGGTGGCTTTACCTTGCATTTTAAGCCCAGAGTCATAACCTCGCCAGCCGCGTCCTCTGAGAAGTCCTTTGCGACCCAGCAAATCGCGTTGTTGGCGACTGTCAGTGGTTTGAATTGGGGCATGTCCAGAGAGATGGTGTGGTTCACGCATATCTTGAGCACTTGGTCGCGCCTCATTAGGAGACGCGCGTAACTAATGCCGCCGTCGATTTCTTTGTCCAGTGGCAATTCGGTGCGCGGGTCAAGATCATTCTCGGGCAGCGGATTATTTGGGTGGACAAGAATCTTCATGTCGCCAATCCCACGCTCCTTCCACTGGCCATCCACCAGCCGGTAGAGCTTGCAGCGCCGCAGGAAAAGACAAATTTCCCCCTCTTCACCAGTTTTTGTCTTGGAGAAGATTCAACATTATCATATGCAGTATCAGTAAGCATTTTATCGCAGCAACAACTAAATTTTCCACCCGTGGTCATTGATAAGCTGTTAGTATGCAAAATCGAGCTACACTTTGTGCCCACATTATAGGCGCTGAGGGTGCGACTGGTCCAAGTTTGCTGAAATTATATTTCGACGAAAAGAATGCAGACGAAATTGAGTGAATGAAGAACTGGCTAGCGAGCTTGGTTAATGGCCACATAACGGAGCTTCTCAAAGGAAAAGTAACGAAATTTCTTTGTACATGTGATTGGGTTTGGGGATTTTCTAGCCATATTACCAATTAAAAAAGCGTGAGAAATGTTTCAAGTTCACCAGAAAACCAACTAACCTCCACAAGGTCCGGTATGGGGAAGATGGGCTCAAAGTGTGGATCGGGGTCGTTTTCCTGGTTCTCGTCACTGCTGCCGCCCCCGCCGTCGCCCGTGGCGCCGAAAAGGGTGGACTCAGCACCAGCCCAGGTGTGAGAGGACGCGGAACCTGAGGTCAACCATGAGGACGTCTTCCCGGCCTCCTTGCTGAGGGCTTCGAAGCCGCCGCCAGAATCGTGAGCGCCAAATGCCAAGGCAGAAAAGATCGAGGAACCGCCACTTGCGGGTGTATCACCTAAAACAGAGAAGGCAATCAATCTGGCCGTCGCAACTCGTAAATAAATAATAGGATGGACACAGTAGTGAAATTTTGGTCCGTCTTAAGGTAGGCTCCATAGAAAACGCATTCGACATTTGCTGATGATAAATTAGACGGCTTCCAATTTGGAAAACGACCGGAGAGGAAAGTAAGTTCATGACTACGTCCGGTCGTGTAGGTGGTCAACGACGGCTATGGATAAATCAGCACAAGTGCCTGAATCTTATTGCTTACTAGTGACGCCACCTGTGCCTTGATCCTTTTGAGGAGTCTTATCGGCCGTCGGCTTGGCGGTGTTACAGGCTGGGCAGGTCGTCTTGTCGGGATCCACACACAACATGCACGTTCCACACGTCCAAGAACCGGACTTCACACGGAATACATCCGATAAGGAAGCAGGGGGAGATGTGGGTGATTTGGGGACATCGCTGTTCTTGATTATAACGAGGGACGAGGAGCCTGAGACTACAGGAGTCGGGGTAGTGTCACCAGTCTTTTCTTCGTGGTTCGATGAAGCGATGGATTGGCTGAAGCGACGATTGACCGCCTCCTCCAACAACTCGTCTTCCTCGGCCTCCTCAGCCGGAGTCATCTCTTCCTGGTGCGAATGGCGACTGCTGCCGGGCGTCTTCAGTTCGTAGGCGTAGAAGTCATCGGGCAACTGGAGGGCGCGGGCCCGAGCCACCTGCTCAGGCGATACCTGGTGCAAAAGACAATTTCGTGACCAACAGACCGAGACGCAAGTTCAAAATCCCAAAACAAAAGAAAATGCTCAATTGAAGTGGCACAACACAACAAAAGACCGAACAAATCACCAACTGCTGTTTACTTAATCCAAGAAATACGAGTGATACGCTATGGAATCCTGTTCTGTAAAGTAGAACATTTTGAAGTAAGAATGCCACGGGCTTATGTGACAAAGAAATCGACGGTTGCGTTATATTTCAGACGTTTTATTTCACAACGGCAAGGTTAATTGCAACAATGAATCAACACCCAGGTTTTCACTAATTGCGATGTGCAACCACCCCAAGTTCGTTGAGTTTAAGTCACCAGCGCACTCGATGCTGAAGTAATCGGAAGTCAGTCATGTGATCCCGGCAACATACCTAACCGCGTTCGCAGTGCTACCAAAAGCCGATGCGACGTCTCAGACTTGTGATAGAAAGAAAACTTACAAGAACAACGAATGACTCAAGTAGCCAACACCAATTGATCAAGAGGTCTTGCATAACTTTAATGTGTACTTCATGTCCGCGATTGCTTGCCCATAGCTTTTTGTTCAATAATTATAAGCACGTGTCACCGTTTGGTTGATGTCACTGACAATTTACCGAACTGTTTAGCGTACAGAACGTTCCGTTAGTTGACTATATTTCACTGCATAATTTTGCACCTTTAAAATATTGCGCTTCAATTTTAATCCTACACCGTAAAGACAAGTTCATGGAGTGGTCTCTAGAACACCTAAGTAGTCTTGGGACAAGATGTTTACCTGAATCACAACCCCTCTACTCAAAACTTTCAATAAGGTGGGGAAAATCAAAAACAGAGACATCAAAGGACCCGGTTTTAGACAAAAGCAGTGCTCAGAAAGGGTTGTTTACTCAAGGGGCATCACAGGACACTAAAAGAAACCTCATGATTAACTGTTTTTAGACTTGATGTCTTTCCAAACAACGTTTTTATGAAATTAAGTATCTCTGAGTTCAGTAGTTGGACAGCCACAGAAAGTGGGATGGCGCCTTTTCAGGATTTGACCAGCCGTGTGAGATTCCACCAGTTTCAAACCCAAATGGGTGGGAACCAGACATCGAATTCAAAGACTATCGACAATTTATTAATGGCATTTTTTGAGTTGTCAATTGGGAAATGTCTAAATTTAAAATTAAAGTCGACAAGAATGACGAAATACCTCTAAACTCCGTTTTGCGTGCTAGTAATTTGGGCAACTCCTTATTCGTGCTTTACTTGACGAGCAAATTTGTTTACTGCAAATTTTACATTTACGAGCATAAAAATTGAGTAAGCCCAAACTACCAATTAAATGAGAGCAACTTCGTGAGGGTTAATTGACCAGTAATTTAAAAAATTTGCTCCAAGTGAGGTACAAAATACCGAATAAAGCAGGGACGGATGATTTTGCCTTCAAACCAACAAGTCCACTCCCACAAAACGAAGGCTTGATTGGAAGTGCCGTTAGTAACATTCACCTTACTAAGACAAAACTCCTGTGCTAACACCAACGTAAATACGCTCTAGTCTGTAACTGATGAGATTTAAGCCGATAAGAAACAACAGAGAACTGTCGGCTTACCGAACTTTCCTCTATGATCACCAGGTCGTCGTCACCACAAGTTGCAGCATCATCTCGACCACCAGGTAGGTCAGACCCCGTGGACTCCGCAACTTCAGTGAAGGCATTGTAGAAGGCCTGGGACTCTTCTGTGGTCTTGAAACGCACAGAAAACATCTCCTTTTTCCCTTCAGGACCGACTTCGTCATCTGAGAAGTCGACAGCCCACCAGACCCAGGGCTTTACACTTGCCTGGCTGCCTTCCAAGGGTTTCAAACGCATGCCTGGTGTGATTGGGTGGTTGCAACAGACCTTGTGCACCTGCTCCCGTCGCATCACTATCCGCACACGGCCCGAGTCTGGCGTGCGAAGGAGCTTAAGTTGCCCCAAACCCCGCTCCTTCCAAGCGCCGCTATCAAAACGGAAAAGCTTAGCGCGAGCCTCAAACACGACCTCTTCATCCTCCTCGCCAGTGCGCACTTCCACCTTATCGGGCAAATGATCAAAGATGGGTTTGAAGCTGACCTGGGACAGATCTGAGGGGGTAACCTCACCCTCCTCGTCGTCATCCTGTTCGCCATCCACTTCGTTCTTTACGGAGGTTGTTGGTTTCGCGACAAAAGTGAAATCGAACTTGGGTTTCTCAAGACTTTCAGTTAGATCAAGAGCGGCAAAAGCACCACTACCACCGCCAACAAGTTTGGGATCCGAAGATGGCTTGCCAAAAGAAAACTTGGGTTTCTCAGAACCGATTGCAGCGGTGACAGAGCTGAAACTAGGCATTCCGAAAGAGAACGTAGAAGTTGTCGCTGGCTTGCTGCTCTCACTTATTGTCGTTTTGGGTGTGGAGCCGAATGAGAATTTCGGAATAGCAGTAGCCTGAGTGTTTGAAGAACTGCCAAAAATGAAAGTAGTTTTAGTCGTAGATGCTGCCGCTGTCAATGTAGGTGTTGAAGAACAGAAGTTGGCGGTTGATGGTGCAGGTGTAGTGGGAACGGGTTTTGCACCAGGTTTGACGGTTTCACAGGCGGGACACTTGTTCAGGTCGGGGGCGACAACGAGCGCACAAGTCGGGCAGTTCCAGGAGCCAGCTTTCGGTTTGAACTTATCCAACCCACTAAGAGGTACATTAGCAGCAGCAGCTCCGGGCCTTGGTGCATTGCAAGCAGAGCACTTCTCGACAGCAGGGTCAACGAAGACTCCACACGCAGTACATTTCCACGACCCAGGTTTCGGTTTGGTTTCTTCTAAGCTCTTGGAAGCATGCGACGTTTCAGTGGTTGCCAGACTCCCCGCAGTAGAAACCTTGTCAAGGCAGGACTTTACGACCTTTTCAAACTCGTCGGTGATTTCTTCCGTCTTGAACTGAACCATAAAGACCTCGTCAGAACCATCGGGTTTTGCGTTGTCCACGTCCAGTACAGCAAAGTCGCGAGCACCCCACATACAGGCAACTGGCTTCTGTGGATGACGCCTCAGATTGATGCCAGGAAGGATATAGTGATTAGCACACAGTTTCATTATCTATGAGCAAGCAAAAACGCGGAAAGAATGAGGAAAAATAACTGCAGGGTGTTTACATTAAGCAACACTAAACGCTGCCATAACAGATGCCAATTGCGCAGCGAGCGTAGTGAAACGACTAGAACTACTTACAGTAAGCACGCGTTTACACATTTCAACGACTATCTACGACATACACTAGCGTAATCTATGTCGGATAGAAGTTAACCTAACAGAAAAAAACTTGAACAAGTCCACGCCAACTTCATTAGCAGATAAGAATCCAAGCGAAAGAATGAGAATCGAAGTGTAGATTCCCAGTCCTCGCGCGATTGGACGCTAGCAACTTAAGAAAAGTGAAGCGAAAACGGCCTCTGAACTTAAGTTTGCGGTCATCTGAATTAAAGGACATGTAACTTGTGTTTTTTACAAAAGTACGGGGAAATTTGACCTGAAAGGTGATCGACCACTGACAGCACACGGAATATTCAGATAACAGGAAATTGCACAGGTCAGGTTTTATCTCAAAGCAACACATTCAGCACTTTCGTAACACAAGGAGAGGGTTAATTGACGAATTTGCAGCGGAAGGGTTTTACCTGGTCGCGTCGCATGACAATTCGAAATTTGACGGCCTTGTCATCGGCTAGCACCTTAAGCTCCCCAGTGCCACGAGCCTTCCATTCGCCAGAAGACGACGTCTCCGATTTATCCCACCTGAATAGCCGAGCCCGTTGGCAGAAGAGCAACCGTTCATCCTCTTCACCGGTCGTTTGCTTAACCAACTCCGGCAACTTGTCGAAGCAGGGAGCAACTTCGACGGTTGGCTCAAAAGCCTCTGGGTTGTCATCGTCGTCTGTGTGCTTTGAAGTATCCGTAGTTAATGGTTGTGGTGGTTGAGTAGACGCAGACTTCGCCGCACTCGACTGTTTGAGGTCGAATGAGAAGTTGGTGAAAAGAGGAGTCGAGTTGGGACCGTCGCCTACACTACCCGGACTTCCAATTTTGCTGAAACTGAAGAGATTTGTCTCCTGGGCGGTGGTGGTTGGTGGTTTGAACGTGAACAGAGTTGGAGGTGAGGCAGTCGACGGAATATCCTTAATAAAAAATATATATTAGGTTACAAGAAATTCCTACAAAGAGTGCACCCAGTGTGATGTATTTTCACGGTTCAACGCACTATGAACCAAAATACTATAAGATTTAGCTTCAATTTATTGGAGATCTCTAACCACCTTAGCAACTAATTTGAGGCGGGCAAAATTCACGGTATATCAGTCCATAGATTTCCTCATCAAGCGTTAGGTATGTTATAAATTAGACTGAATATATCCGGGAGAGTAAAATCAGTCGCAATGGACGAGTTGTAGAACAAACCAGCGACCGGCAGTCAGTGAATTTGTAGTAAAGGCCCCCCACAGTGTTATCGGTGTGTCGAAGCTCACAGTCATTCTAGAGCTTACCTGTTTTGCCGTGGAGGTCGTGTTCTTTGTTGGCGTAGCAACTTTGCCGGAGGGCGATGAGGCTATTGTTGCGGGTGATTTAACAGACGTGGTCGGTTGCTGTGCTGCTGTTGACGCAGTGGGAAAGATGGCTGATTGGTCAGGCGACTTCGGTATTGAAGCTTGCTGAAGTGCCCCCACGGTGCCAGGAGTGCTTACACCAGGAGGAAAAAGGCACGGTGGCATAGGGGGCACGCGAAAGTCCACAGGAACTTTAATAAAAACAAAATGATGAGGACAGTCAAAAGATCAGCAACGTAATGTTAAAATTTTAAAATTGTCAAACATCGGTCATTAATAAATTGCTTGCGAAATACAAGTCCCCAAAAAAAGATGCTGCCCATCCGTGTGAGATGAACTGATTTAGGCTCGAAGTACGAGGTTTGTGCAGTTTATGTCATCGAAGATAAATGAAATCACATGACTCTTTTAAGGCCACTGGAGAATTATCTGGTTGATACATCCCCAAATATCAGCTGTTCTAAAATGTTCTACAATAAATCTGAATACAACATACACTCGCCGTCAGTACCAAACGCTGACCACAAATTGAGCGAATTGTCGACTCCTCTTGGGCAAAACAGACCACTTCCGCAACATACTACTAGGGGGGAAGGGAAATGCATCGGTCCTAGATCCGATGGCTGCAGTGGACGGGGTAACACGAGCCAGCGCCACCACCAAACTTTTCGTGTGACCATTATTTGTGAAATGAAGCGACGATTTATAATCACTCGCTAGTTGTACCTTCCCTTCTAGCCACTAAAACGTAGTAAGTTGTTAAGGAGAGAATCATGCCATGTGAACATGAGGTAAAACTGGGGATGTAAAACGGCCTACAACAACAGCATTCATGCAAACCACACCCTTCAAACAGCAAGACAAAGCAGAAGAGGGTTGAATAATTATCCAGTCTAACTCTAATTTCAGTGTATAAAGCAAGAGCGGGCATGTAACACCAACCAACAGCGACTTTTCGTGGCCCAAAAGATTCGACAATCCCAATAATTGTATAAAATCTGCAGAGACTTTTTTGATTAAAGCAAGAAATTAATTAGAATAAAGTTGGATTTTATGTTCGAGGCATGTTGAATGTTTTTACTAAACTGACCCAGATAATCGCACTATCGAACAGGTTTCAATTTTGACACAAATAACAGCACGAAGCACGACAAGAAGATAGTTGGATTACCAGAGTAAAAACGGCGATATTTTTAATACGACCCATGAGTCACACAACTGCAATTACAGATGTGGATGTCACTATTTCCAGGTACCGCTACCATTGTAGCCTCACGGCCACAACACTCAGTAGACATCGGGCAAAAAGGTAGACAGCATAATACTGTCCTACGATCCAGCTACTTGCACAGCGAAGTAAAGTCCCAGTTAACCAACCTGAAGGAGGAAGAGGAGGAGGAGGACGGGAGAGGTGTGGGAGTAGTAGGCAAGGCCCAGGTGTAGTCTGTGGTGCCTGCTGCTGATGAAAGGCGGCCAGTTGAGAAAGAGCCAACTGGGCGTTCTGCTGGCTCTCTAAAGAGAACATGTCACCCGGACGCAGCATTGGTGGGGGTGGCGGTGGCGGTATATGTGTCGGAGGAGGTACCGCGGTGGGAAACCACTGACGGAAATCCCGAAGACTCGAAGCCACCTCGCGCAGGGACTCCTGCAGAGCGCGCCAATCTTCCAACGAAGGTACCGGCCGTGGTGGCGATGTTGGGGGCTTGGGAGGAGTTTGGCTGCGTTGTTGTTGTTGTTGCCGTTGTTCGGCAATGGCTGCATCCAGTTGGCTCCGCGTTTCTTTCAGCAGGCGCGACAACTCTTCATTTTGCATTCGACTTTTAGCGAGTTCTGCAGATGTCTCAGACATGGTGCGAGAAAATTCCATGAACGATGGCATCCATTGTTCAACCACCTGAGTCATTAGTTTTGTCTACGAAAAAAGTGCAGACAAATTTGAGAGAGAACCTAGTCGTTCCGAAAGCCTGTCACGAGGTCGGTATTTGGCATGCAAGTTTCCATATAAAGCTAATACAAAATAACTAAGGATGTCTCTAACAGAGCGTGAAGATCATTCGCACGCATAAGCTAACATTCACATCCACAAAAAAGTCAGAATTCCTGACACAAATCCAATGTAGTAAAATGGGTAATTACAAATTCTTAAACAGAAGCAACATCCCAGACTTCAAAAACAGTGTTGTACAGAATTTTCAGGTTGAGGCGTAAGTAGTATCAAAGGGACGATGCCAATTACAGAAGAGACTGCAGCTCAATCGGTCAGGTTTGACTAAAAATTTACGTAAAACATTAAGTGGAACGCCTGGGGCTGAACTTGGGTCGATTCCTTGTCAGTGCACATGCTAAAGCCGGATGCCAGACCAAATAATCGGGGACAAATCTCGAGCTTCCAAAACGAAATTTGAGAAAGCATTAGAAACGACCGGTGAGCGATGGCTTAATCAATTAGTACTGCGTAAACGTACTAGGGAATGTACGTACCTGAGTATCGGACACTGCAGAAGCCGGAGTAGCAGAAACAGCCCCGGAATGAGAGCTCCTAGGCACTGGGTAGGTGCTGCTGGCACCATCTTCGGTGAAGATACCTGACACCCGGGAAGATGGAGTGCCCATTAGTCCGAAACTCGATTTCCGGCCACCGTTAGAGTAGGCTCCGTAACCAGATGGCATATTCGTTGTTTGTAGTTGGGCAGGCGATTTCGCACTTAATTCTTCAAGATGTGGGGCTGTGTAAAAAATATAAGTCAGTAAAATTGGGAACCTGTTAAAAAGAGGTTAACCATAACAAGCGGGAAAAGATATCAAGTACTGCGAAAATATTTTATTTGTTGAAATTGTAGAGGGGAACACATATAACGCAGAATATTAAAAACACACACACACACAGAGAGACAACGCGGTAAAAAAGAGGCGAGTGATGAAGACACTCGCCCGCTCCCCTGACTTTGAAAGTCTAAACAATCAGCAACCCACGAGCTCTACGGGGATCATGTATTCGGCATAATTTGTTTAAAGTGCAGAACAACTTATGGTAGTCGTGACATGATAGCCCATATAAACAAGACCCTGCGATTGCAATCAAAACCATCTTAGCACTATAATTGAGTGATTAAGGTTGGTGGACTCTAAACCAGAGGGCGAGTCGTTAAGGCTTATTCGCACTGCCAATAATTCTTAATGCCTTGTTTTAGTGATCTAAAAGAGCTTCTGAAAAGTGACACTATACATTTCAGGTTGGAGTACAAACACGAAGACACAAGGGAAGTCGGCAAAAATAGAGCAGTCATTGTTGAAAAGACAGAGGGTAGGTGGGAAGCGCGGCTCACCAGAGGTACTGGGCAATCCGAAATTTGCTTGCAAGGATGCAATCTCGTCGGTAATTGCCTTGGTCAACTTCTGAAAATATCAATGCATGCACTTGGGTAAATTCAAAACCTTGGAAACGGTGAAACCCCTTGTGGTTTACACTTACCGACGATTCTTCGGATGTCGCTAGCTTCAATGGCACTTTGGATGCGGCGTCCATAATGGTCAATGCGAGGCATCCAAGTGGTTTTAACACTGCTGAACTACTATCCAGAACCACATTCTTATTAACAAGTTTTCCGGCAAGAAGAGCACATTCGGGGTCGATGGGAAACTGCTGACCCTCCAGATGATGCAAATGATTAAGTACTGTCTCCAGTTTAGCGGGTGGGTGCTCTAGCCAGTACAAAGCAAGCCAACGCCAGCCGAGATAGAACCATGCATGGTCTTCATTGATCATGCCGGGAGAAACTTCCACATGCGAGCCATACCACCAATTTGAGTTCAATTCTGTTGGGAAAAGTGTATTTCTTTCGGATTTTTTACCAATACTGTGGGTAGAAAAACGGATTATTAAAGACAGGTCAATTTTGTCCAGTTGATGAGAGCAGCGTCTTACCTTAATGCTGGGGAATTTTTCTGAACAAACTCGGGGTCCTGCACCAGAGCAGCTAGACCAGCTTCCCAAATTCGAGCCGCCCATGAAGTAGACTCATCTGAACCCGAGTCTAAGGGTAGGTGGGAGGTAGCCCAGGCAACGCGAAGGGTTAAGCGGGGAGATGTAGCATGATTCGGAGCGACAAATCGAAGCTGATCGAGGAAGTGTGTCAAAGATGACTGACTGGCACTACAGTAAGATGATAACTTGAATGGATGTACCGCCTGATAATAAATATCTCAGGGCAACTTACGCAGACTTATTTTTTACATAAGTACACATATTGTTCCAACACTGACACTGTAAACCACTGGGTAAAAGTCGAGAGTTTAACAGGCAGAGAGGTGCTGGCGGCCATGAAGAAGGTGTCTTTGGACTTTGATATTTCAGCACGTCAGATGAAGACGCATAGCGAATCAAGTAAGAAATTGATAGAGCCAGAAGAAAGACAATTGCGTCTAACTGACACACCTCCGAAGCATCAGTTAAGAAAGGTGCCTCACGGAATATACGTGCGACCACTGCAAACACAGAAAAAGGGCAGTAAGTTATCAACAAACACACTAGTTATCAAAAAGGGTCTTACCTCGAATTATAGCTTTAAGGCGGGACTCCGGAAGAACCAAATCGAAACTTTTTGTGACGTCACTTCCAGCTGCCACAGGACGCAAAATGTACCAGAGAATTATGCTTAAATCTGGTTTGCAGTCTATAAGTTGAAAAAACATTTCTTCTGTGTTAGATGCACAGACGTCCCTGCTTTTGATGCTTTCGTCTAATCCACGAAGGAATTGGAACTCGACTTTTGCGTCGGTTGACACATGTTCCTGATATAAAGCCTCAAGTAAGATCGATTTCCATGGCGGCTGAGGGTCGTCACTATTGCTGTATAACAGCGCCGACTGTAGCCTCAAAGCAAGACCATCACTGTAAAAGTGTTCCCACGTTGGTCTGGAGAAAAGCGTGTCAACCGAGGGCAATGTCTTTTTCAAAGACAACGCACACTGAAAGCACGTGTTTATCACAGCATCAAGATTGGTGGGCAATCTTTTCTAAAGTAGAAATTTTGTGATTGAGTTTAACAAAAAGAATGACCAAAAAAGAACCTGAGTTACCTTTTTTGTGAGTCTTTGAAGATAAACTGCCAGATAAAAGAAAAGACGCAACTGCATTTCATTAGCAAGTTCACGGTCATGAGGATGTGCTGAACCCAATAAATTTATTATTTGGTCATCAAGGTGAGCTAAATTGGAACGAAAATCAGACAGGCAAGCAGTCTGTGCTGTTAGGCGTAAAATCTCTGCTGCGGCAAAGCCCCGTAGGGAATTCAGTTGGTCGTACCAAGCCGATTTGTGGAACGAGGCGGGGACAAGCTAACCAGTTTCATAATATGTAATGAACGTACCGAAGAGAAATCTAGGACGGCTTTAAACCATGCGGCTCTATCGATGCACGGCACTCCGTTAATTGTCTGCAAACAGAGATCAAATCCTTCTTTGAAGTAACCATGTGATATATGACTTTTGAGGGTTGAAATGCGCTGTCCAATGACCATTGGAGACTACAATACATATTAGGAGTATACAGCTTACAGGGTCATCGGCAGTCATCGAGTTTAGCGGCTGTTTATCGATTTTTTCAAACAGGGCTTTTACACTTGGCATATCGGCGAAGAGTGTACGACCCAATTCAATATATTTCTAATAGGTCGATGGTAAACTAAGATCTAACCTTGTGTTTATCCACTTCAAGATTTTGTTTATAAACCATGTTGCAAACTGAAAAAGTTGTCAAAATTTGAGGAAATTACTTTTCAATATAAGCTGTTCATTTGTAGAATCCAAATCGTACGCTCTTTCAAATGCCGCAACTGCTCCGGAAACGTCATGCAGAGCATCACAAATTTGGCCAAGGAGCTGATATCCTGGAGCATAGTCTGGCCTCACTGAGAGAAAACCACTGAGATATCTTCGAGGTAATAAGAACAAACGTAAACTTACCGGCGAGCTGAATCGAAATCCTGTACTTCTACATATAGTTTAGCTATATGGAACCCATGAGAATTTTTCTAAAAATGCAATGTAAGAGTACTTGTACTTCTCGTGATGTAAAAGCATTGGACAAAAGTTTATGAACATGCTTGTCGACATGGGTCTTTGTTGGGAACATGATCCTCTCACGCATAGACAAAACTCAACAAACTCCAAACCTAAATTCTAGCCAATCAAACCTGGACTTGATGTGCCAAACCAAATCACTTATGTTTGCGATGACACAGTGAACAGAAATTTACTCGATCAAATCTGTTTAAATTTTTAAATTGTATTTACAGCTTTCTTTGTCACCTTCTTATAAGGTCATTCTATTACTTGCTTCTACATTTTTTACTAGTAAATTGGGTTCGCGACATTACAAATGCAGTTATTTTTTGCTAAATTTTTAAGACGCCAATTTTTAAGGATGAATTTGACAATCTGATTTCACTGGGACTTTAAGAGCCTTTAATTTCTGCATTTGTTCATGAACTTTATAAGTTTACATCTATTGGAAGTTTAAAAAGCTAGAAAGTCGAAGATATGTAACCAACGTTTTTTGAAAGCATCATCCATTAATTTCAGGTAAAATCTAATGGAGGTCGCAAAAATTAGGTCTATAAATTACATCGGGGATCCATGTTTTCTGCCGATGAAATCATGATTTTTAGTTAAGAATGATCTGCCTGCTAATTGAATTTCTTTACAAACCTGGTACTCGATATTAAAGAAAATGAAAAATCGTGGATGGAGTAAAATATCAACTTTAAGAATGAAATTTACCTAAAATTTTTAAACAAAAGCCTTTTTGACCTATTTGCATACAAATCCGCTTATAAATTTTGACGGCATACTAGAAGATATTCGCGTAAAAAAACACATTGACAACAAACAAATTTTACTTCGCACTGAATTTAGCAAAAAAACCTCGAGACGATCAGAATGAGAATTTCAATTCTAAATTCAGTTCAAATGAGCAAACTTTGCTAAGTTATTTTATTAAAATTAGAGAAAGAACCTACTAACATGGCCTGTTCCAGTATGGTAGCATGTTTAATATTTTTTTTTTAGTTATTGCGGATGTGCATTCTTCCAACCTACAAATTTCATTATAAGTGGGGAGATTATGTTTTAAATCACCACAATGCATGGTTGACGTAATATATAACTTAAATTTTGGACACTTTTGCCGTGTCTTGATATTTTGACGGAAGCATGCACTAATCGTAATCTCACTACTGCTTCTCGTTCATGTATAAATCTTCGTACTACCCTGTCTTCCTCAAGAATCCTACCGTTGTATCATCCTGCTGATAAAAACTAACTTCCATAGTATTTTGCTACTAACACTTAGGGCATGCTGGAGCCGTTTTGCCTTAGCTCCTGGGTCTCATCATCTCCCAATTAAGCAAATCACATAAATGTATTTGCTATAATGATGCAGATATGGTAAACAGTAATGTTTTGTTTGTTGTATTAAATAACAAGAAAGGTGGAATAAAGACAAAATGAATGCGTTATGATCTTTGATTTTTAGTGTTGTTTATATTTGTACGTCCAGTTAAGCATTATAAATTCCAAGGTTATATTGCGCGATATTAGATGATGGGTCTAAATTGAGCTCTCAATGTCACATGCTCAGTTTTTCACATTTTGCTAGTATTTTGCTAATTATTATTTTTTTGTGCTCTCAGGCTAAAGTCATCGCTACTCTTTTGTGTGTCTGCAATGACAACACACACTGTTTTCAGAACCGCACTTTAAATTCCATTTACAAGCTGCCAAAAGGGATTCGGTTTTGCACCACATCTTCTCGTGGGTACTGTTATAAGTCGTATAATACTCTTGTAATGTCTGAATATTTGTTTGCAAAGCGCAGCCTTATCGCATCGAAATTGAATGTATTTCGACGAACTTCAGATTGGTTTCCCCCAGATCGGTTCCATAAATACGGGTGCCTTCACTTTTCTTCTCTCGTTTTGTTAATGTGCAACAGACATGCATCAAGTTCGTTCGAAAATAGTTCCTTTTTATGCTGCAGAAATAAGAATACCTGCAATTACGACTTAAAACCTTTGAAGTCGGAGTTCATTAACAACACATCTAAAATAAAAGTATCACCTACGACAAAATATCACATTACTCTTGACCACACTCCCTCCTCTACAGAAAAAGAGTCTCGAATTATTTCGCCTGTTACAAATGTTTTTGTGGGACCTCAAATTTTAATGAAATCGCAATCAAAATCCAAATCAAGTCAATTTATCGAGGAGCCATTCAGCAAAACCCCAATCCCCCTTTCCAGTTACTCTGCTAATAGCTCGTCCTTTCGTACAGCAATGGTTCTTCTTGCTGGAATCTTTATTCTGTTAATTACTATGCGCCTGATATGTTATTTTACTTGTCCGCTTTATTTGAGCCACAAATATTGCAATCGAGTCAGTTTTTCATGGTTATTTGATGCGCCCTTACCCCGACCAACAACTATTATGAAAAGTTCATCGGCAGCCTCAACCAACTCGACTAATTTGCAAGAAAGCCAGTCGTGTTGCTCTTCCCAGCTTGTTCCGGACAAGTCATTCTGTGGACAACAGCTAATTCATAAATTGGAAATCTTGACGGTTCAGTCACTTAACCGTCACTACGAACAACTCTCAGGTATGAGCACTAAGATATCTTAAGTTATTAAATTAATTTGTCATTTTAGCAATTCTGTCACATCACACCATTATGAATTTTAATATTGTGTTCCGTCATCCAATCTATTCCTATGGCATTATCGAATAGAAATAACACTTGTGGTACTTGCTCCTGTTTACATATTAATTTCACTGGATCTAAATGATATCTCTTTGTTTTTTAAGTTCATGTGTTAATTTATTTATTTTCTTAAGACGGAAACTAAGACAAGGTTTTTATTTGTAATGAATTTGACCGGGACCGTAATATAAGTCCCCATTGCTGAATTCGCTTGACTGTTTGACCACGCATATATAGTAAACGATTATATAGAATAACCGAAGCAATATTCTGATTTTGCCCCAAGTTTTTTGATGGCAATTTTATGGTGTCATACTAAGTCGAAAGCCTGCTTAATAAAGCCATTTAAAAAAATTGAACATCTAAAATTAAAAGAGAACTTTATGAGGATATGTACCCTGGAGCAATTACTGGTGATTCACATTACGTCACTGACTCAAAAAGTGCACCACCACCATTTATGGTATGTTCAATCTGCTGTTTTTTTTCCTTTTTGTTTACTCCATAGCAAAGTACGAAGGTGAACATGTGGGTGTACGCATCCTATGTCCGCACTGCCCATCGAGGTCTATAATACTTTGGAAACGCTTTGTCTTAATGAATGAAAAATATGTTCTTCGGCATGTCACTCTGAGCGGGATAAAGGCGGCGGATATTTGCCTAGCTAGTGATCTTCGTCAGTGTATGGGAAAATCCTTTGCTGAGTTCAATTTCGCCGCAAGTCTTGGTTTCACACTCAGCGAATTGTATCCGTGGGGATCGTTTTTTGACATGATGCAATCCTCACCAGCAAGATTTTGGAAAACATCGTCAGCAGCAGCGTCGTTCTTACGTGTTATTAGCGATATTGTCAACGGATTGACATTCCTGCACACAGGTATTTAAGTTTGTCATTATACTTGAGAATTTTTTGACCGAATTACGTCTCGTAAAAGTACATTTCATGCGCTTTTTATTGCGCTCAGAGGTAAAAATTCCTCAGTGTAAATTGCTGTTTACTTGAAACTCGCGGCGTCATTTGCTGCGTTCGCATTTGTACTTTGAAAGCCTAACATATCCTAACCAAATTGGACGTTGTGTTCGCCTAAATTTTCATGAACTTGAGCCAATAAAGGTACAAACTGATTTCTAATACCTTATTGGTCGCGATATTTGCCCAGGTAGGCGGAGCTGTAGAGGGAGGAGTTCACTCGTGGGTGTTGCCTCTACGCTGGTACACGCTAGAACGATCACACCAAGTGATGGCTAGCCACCCGTCCACGTCGAGCGCATGTGTCGTGATAAATTGCCGCCTGGATGGCCGACACCGGTCCCCGCCCCACTCCACACCCCTACTTCTAGTACCCCGTCGCTCTGTGCACAGCTGACGGAAGTTTCTAATGTGTTGAGTGGTGCTCGTTCGGGGGGAGGAGCGACGTGAGAGGCGCGGGGGGGAGGTGATTGCATGAGACAGCCTGCAACGCCGAAACCGCAGCAGAGCGACCGCGATTATCACAGGAGCGGAGGCAAAACTGTCATGGACAGATTGTGGTGGACACTGATGCCTATCGCACCTTCACAATATGCTCACGTGTACTCTACTTTCGTCTGCGTTTGTTTTACAAAACCTGGCTCTATCCTGAGTCAGCCCATTCCCAGGGTGTCTTTTTTTCACAGTATTTTTAAAGCAGCTTTCCAAACTGGTCGGTAGTCCTCACGCAACGGAACCAATTGTCCTCTGTTGCAGACACATCGTCCACTATTTAAGGTAGGGACTGGAAGGGTCGCGTAAAGTGGTTATAACCATGGCTGCTTGACAGTTGGAGTGAAGTGCTGAGTGAATGCGCCACTACCTCCTGTCGCCTCGCACATTCAAAATCGTCGCTTATTTGGTCTTGATGTTTTACTCAGCCTGGTGTCGTACAGTTTGCCTACTTTGGCCTATCAACGCCAAAATAAGAATAAAAAAAGGCAAAAATTATGACAAAGACGGCGCTCTTCGGTGATCGAAATGGCAGCATGCGCGTCGGCACTGTTTGTATGTGATGCAGTGGTGATCAATCAGGACACACCGTCACCATGGCAACCAGCCAGACGGTTGTGGTAAATTGGGCGGTGGGGGCGACCAAAGGCTTGTGCAAAAGCACCGGTGCATCTGCAGCATTTGTGTGTACACACGTGTGTTTATACATACACGCACCCACTGACTAATGCCGCGGCATGGAATACCAAAGGTAAACGTACACACTGGGCACTGCAATTGATTTTGCGTCTCCCACCTCACTTTAAACCAAAAATTTAAGCGATCTGCACAATCAGCTTAGACCTCGGAGGTATCTCCAGAGCACGCATTTTCCCCAAATTCGAATGCATTCTTTTAAAATTAGTCTTTCTGGAAAAAAAACTTACAGTGAGACTGCTTGCCTAATTCCCTTAATTCTAACCAATTGAAATGCCTAGGCATGTGCAGGTTGGCTGGAAGACGTGAAAACGAACTTGTCTCGTTAAGGAACAGACCGTGTGCCACTTGTTGATTTAAAAGAACACGATCACGCAATGTGCTTCCTCGCTAAATTATAAATTCATTCCTGCATTTCGTCCGTCCAGGTCGTTTGAAGACTGTTAAAGTGAGCTACTTAACACTCTTCACTGTGTTTGCTAGACATGGAGGGGACTCGAGGGCGCCCAGCTCTCGCCCACCGCAATCTCTGCCTCGAGAATGCGTTTCTAAAGCCCGACGGCAGCAGTTGCCTCGGTGGTCTTGAGTACGCGGTGTGCCCTCCACCAACACCCCTTCCCGTGCCCATACCTCAACTCCTTCAGATGTTTGCGGCTCACGTTCAGGAGTGGTCTTTTGATGCTTCGCCTCCGACTCAGACTGCGGGTGATTTCTCAAGTGATCGGTGCCCATCGGACAAGGCCGATTGCCATCCCACCGAGGGCACACCGACACCAGTGCTGGTGACTAAACCCCCCTTCCCTGATTGGTGGCCTGTTTGTGGCCTGAAAGTCGGCGATCCGATTTGCACGGCGCCGGAGGTAAGTGGCCATCTCAGTGAGGCAGCCAATCGTGTTAACCTGCTCCAAAAAATTTACAACCCACAGTGTCTGCATGGTTCTATGAGATAAAATGATCGAAGAAGTTACTTTGGCCAAGTATCCGTCCTGAAACGAGAATGCAAATATGTGCGGATAGTTCAAAACGATGGATGCCGTAGTTGTATGTTTACAGAATTCGTCAAGAGTCCGAATGCGTTCTTAACAGCATGTTGAGGCTATTTACCACACAAAGTTACCCAGGAAGAAAATAAATCCAGATACGCCAGGCACGACCGTTTACTCGATAGCTCAACCAACCAGTCGTGTGTCTACTGGTACATTTGAGTGGACATGTAGAAATAAACACAGGCGTCTGTGAGGTCACATGAATAAAGCGGGTGGTGGTGGTACCCGCAGGAGGTTAATGAACCGGCTGCCTCACGTGACTGACGGGCATGCCATGAAAAGGGGGGGCCGTGTGTTGGAAGCTGCGACGACCGGGTTATTGGACGTGAATCAATAGGATTCACTACAAGCAGTTTGAAGGCGTCGTGTGAAATCGCGGGCTGTAGCGGCAGCAATAGCGACATTTCCCCCTACTCCGTGAGCCAAATTTATTTAATCATGACAATAATAATAATTCGGAAAATCGTGAATGGGAGATTCAGTGAAAGTGCTTTATGTACCTAAACGAGATCTTGTTGGAAATTACACTGGATTTTATTAGGGAATCATCCACCAATCACGTAATCGTGTGTGTGTCACATCTTCGCCATCCCAATTTTAGAGTTTTGTCTTTTTCCACATCCCAAATATTTGAGATCTGAAATATCGTCAATCAATCGGTTTACGAATAGACCGTAGACAAAGCTTTATCTTGTGTTAAATAAACGCATCTTCGTTATGATAACACAAATTATCAATCTCCAATTCTAGGAAATTTTGCTATAAGTCAAAATGACCAAATTTCAGAAGTCGATAAGAAGTAATTTTGCAATTAGACTGTGAAGTATCAATTTTTATGGAGGATTGGAGCGATTACGTGATTGACATTTAGGGGTGTGGGGGGTCGACGGGTTGAGTAATCTTTTCTTGCGATGCTTGATGAACTGCATATTTCTATCTTTTCAGTCTGTTCTACTACTCTTTCTGCTTGACTTTGAAAAAAAGTGACGGTGTATTCCCATTTCAGCTTCTAGAAGAAAAGATTTTTCCGTTTTGCTTCGAATCGCACAAGCGCGCCGACATCTACGCCTTGGGCGTCGTTATGTGGGAGATTCTGGCGTGGGCCATGGGGTCCGCGATTGGCCGGCCGAAGAGCAACGAGGCTCAACCGCCTGGAGGATGGGTGAGTGTAACCGCCCCCGCCCCTCCCTACCCTACCCCCTCCGCCCCTCTTCCTGCAGTCACACCTTATTCCCCCCCTAGGTACCCCATCAGTCCGGCCTGGCGGCAATGAGGCAGATGGCTTGTTTGAGACAGCCCAACCTGCTTGTTTTGGACGCACCCAAGCTGGATCCAATTACTGGTAAGTGAAGTTAACTATTATCTTTGGTTTAATTGACCCAACTTACTAGCAGCTGTGGTTACATTATAAAATGTTCATGCATTCTCCAAAAAAAAGCCACTGGTGAGAACGTGAGATTTGCTTGAGGCGGCGTGAATTCGTTAGTAGCCTGTGTTTAGAAAGTCCACAACTATCATCTGTGGGGGATGGATATGTCAGCCACTTGACGGTTTTGTGTAAGTATTCAATCGATTTTAAGTTGGGCATGTCTTATCAGATAAGGCAATGGTATTTACATGCAAGTAGCTGTGATCGATGTTTAGGGCAGAGGTGGCTAGCGTAGGACCATAGGGCCATCTACTTCTCAATTCAGCTAGTCGCTGCACATCCTATTTTTCCGAGTCATAATCAACGCTCATTTGCTGCGCATTGTCACACCAGACACAAACAAGTGATATTAAAAGACAAGTCACACAGGGCACCTGCATTATTTCAATCCGAATTAATTCCAAACAGGGTAATTTGGGCTTCCGGATATTAATCGGTGTGTGTGTGTGTGTGTGTGCATGAGTGCATTTTAGTGAAAGTAGCGTAAAAAACGACGCCTCGCCAAGGCCGTTTTTCGCATTTTCGGTCCAGCGATTTCGATTGCAACGATTCACCGTGAATTTGGTGGCGACAGAGTTCTGAGATGTCTGTTGTAGGTAGGGTGACATGGTAAACCCTTGAAAACTTGAAATTTGAAGCGTAACAAAGAATATGCTAGTAAAAATGTCAAGTGAGGAGCCTCGAGAGAGGGTTGGCAATTGAGCAAACGCGATGAGTTCAGTCAAGGCGTTCGAGCAACTAAACATTTTCCTAATTTTACAATACCATTCGACCAGTTAAATGTGGGTGAGCGTGGACTCTGTTAGATAGGTTCGACAATGATTTGACCGCCATGATTCGTTCACATGACGCTGGACCATTCAAAAGCCTTTTTGTCTCTAATCAGAGGTTGATGAGAATTGAAAGGGACGTGGTTCAGCATTCGCCATATACTCTCATTGATTTCGTCCATCTTAAAAAAATTAAAAGCAAATTAAGCATTACTGACCACGATCTTAAGTAGGCGGTGAAAGCAACAAGTGTGCATGGGGGCTGACGACACAAATTCCCCACATTTTGTAAAAACGGAGCCCAAATTCCAGCCTATTCAGCCACACACCACACGCGTTATTTAGCCAATCAGCGAAAGGCGCGTAAATTTTCGTCTGCATCCTCTTTTGTGTGTGTGTGTGTGTGCATTGCCGTGGCCACTCGCACACCCCACCCCACCCCCCTGCCCACCCCCCAAAACGACACAATTTCGCGTGTGCGTATTATCCACTAACTGGGGCTCAAGTGTGATGCAGCCTCATCAGCTTGCGCGCATAAGTCATTTGACCGTTTGTGTTCCACCGCGCGGGTCGGTCACCTTGTAGCTGCCTTTCAAGAATGCAACGCAGCCGGGGATGACGAGGCGCTCGAACATGCAGGTTGCTGCATTTTCCGCCTTCGTCCACGGGGTGCACGCGAATTGCCGGTTAGGCAGTAGCTCCATAAAATCGATAGAATCTGAAAGGCCTCACTCGACACGGCTTGTGGAGTGCCCATTTAATTAACCACCCAATGTAATGGGCAAACGAAGCCATATGCAGAGTTATTTCCCAAAAAAAAACTTTAATTAACCAAATAAAAAATACAACCATCGACTCTGTGTGTTAGTCTTTTTCACCAATGCAGTGGAATGACTCAATCACGGAGAACGATTTAACTTTATTCAAAAAAAAACAAATGTTCTAGCCCAAGCTGATCCCAGCGCCTAATGAAGACCTGGTTATTTTAGTCCGAATCGAAATCGCAAAAGAGGTAGATACGTCATTAAGGGTTTCGCCTTAGAAATGCCGATGTTATTAGAATGGACGGGCACAATTATTCCAAGTTAATGGGGCCTAGTCCGTACACACCGACACGGGAAATGTGCTAGGCTCAATGAGGAGTGTTTTCAGTTGTAGACAGAAATGACCTTGAGGCTCAGAGCCAATCAGTCGACCGCCCAAACTGGAGCCAAGTGTGTGAATTCTTCGCGAAGCTCCTTCCTGAATGCTGGAATCGCTGCCCGGAAAAACGCCTGAGTGCGTTGCGGATTAAAAAGAACCTGGCTAAATTCTCAGAAGGATTCCTAGTCAAAGATAAAGCTTCTGATGCCGGGCTATCTCGGTGAATCAGACGCCTTCTGGCCTTCTTCATCGTCACTTTCAACATCGCGATAACTCGAGTTGACAGAAATTGAGGCAAAACAAAATTCGAAATTGCGCGGTTCACACTCAACACCACCGACATGAAAGTCACTTTATGCGAATAATTGTGTTTGGGCAGGGAGCATTTAATAGAGAGGCAGAGGCATTTGTACGTGACTAATAGTGAATTTTGTAGTGATAGTACCAGTAGTTTGGGGCTTGTTCTGAAATTCACTTTAGTCAAACATTTCCTGGGCTCAGAGACTATTTGCGGATTTGACAGTTCGTCTCATCGCGTTTACCTGCTAGGGAAGAAGCCTCAGGTTCGGTTAAAACGATGACGTTCTACTTGGCAGGATTCCATGTTACTGGTATTTACGGCACGGGGTTGGAGCACAAGTGGATTCATCTTTCGCTTCATCTACTGTTAAGGTTAAAGTAGTATTGGTGGGGTCCGACGGCAAATGAAGAGGCAGTCTTCTTGTGGTGCTTTTACTTGTGATCTAAATACTATTCGATCAATTCTAGAACTGTAGCTTCAGGAACGTCGGTTGTTCCTACAAGTACACTTCACACGCCCACATTCCTGAATTCGCAACAGTTTGAACAAGTCGATCCCCAATTTTCAAACGTGGTAAGTGCGACGGTCAGGTCACTCTTAGAACTTGGTTGAACATCAGTATTGCCTCTGTTTATGGCAGTTTACACCTATGATGCTGTTTCCCCTGACTACCCACGATCGCGTTGCGAGGTGGTTCAAGTTAATTGAGAAGCATGAAAGCCGACGTAACTCACTCAATTTTCTCACGTAATGCATTTAACGTTATTCCGTTGTCGAGTGAACTCGGCCATCATTTTTGCAAATTTAAAGTAAAAAATGTGTTGCATTTACTTCAGGTTGATACTTGTGCGTTGGTGATTGGATGTGAAATGCACGATTTTAGGATTTTATCACACTTGATGTGTAGTTCAGTGGGATGTTTTAATTGAGGTCGAATGTCATTTTTCACGCTGATAATTTTGGGCAGAACAAGAATGCCCAAAGTTCTACAAGCAGAGTTGAAAACGGAGTTGAACAGTGAGGCACAATGAGGTCCTGTGGTGCTATTATGCATGTTAGGAAAAGTTGACATTTGCTGTGGGTGCTCCACGAACAATAATAAACGTCTTTCTATTTTTATGTGACAGATTCGAAGGTGAATATGTCATTGGCTGTTGTAGGAACTGAAATTCACATTTCTATTAGAGGCCGTTTATAAGTCAACCAACTTATGAGACACTGCATTGGGACGCATCAAAATGACGTCCAATTTCCTTTAAGCCACGACACCACAAAATTTGGTGATGGTGGGTTCGTTTAATCGCCCAGAGAAAGGCATGTAGAAGCGAGTCAGATGGACCTCGATTTGTAGAAACATTATTCGAATCTAAAGCCGTCGGCTTGCAGGAAATAATCCATGCATATTTGGGCCTAAGATCAGGTTCTTGTCATGGGGGAAAAGGCACACTCTCATACGGATAAAGTGTAATTTCAATTTAGACGGTGGGTTTGATGTGCTTCCTTTCTCCTCTTCCAATACTGATTTTTTTTTGATAAAAGGTAATATGTAGTGAGGAGACAAGAATTCCAGCAATTTTCGCAAACACGAAATCCTCAAAATAATTTGAAACTATAAACAACACTTGCTACTTATAATATTTTAGTAGAACGGCAAATAGACTGAAAATATTTACACCCAGAGCATCACGCGCCACCGGATTTCACCCCATAGTTCTGCCACCACCTGAAGCAGCTCAGAAACTTCGGTCTTACTTCGTATGTCATCGGACGTTGTACAGTGATTTGGACAAACCCTTTTAACTGCATTTTTTTACATGCCCCTAACGATAGGCCAAAAGCAGTTGCATTCATTCTGACTTAAGCGACGTTTAATACTTAGCCCCCATCTCGGCAAGGCAGCTTCTCTTTGAGAAACCCGATGAAGCCTTAACAACAAAACGATTAAGGATATTCACACAAAACAAACAGCAGTCATTTCATGGATTTGACGAAATTTTAACCACCACGCCGGGGCCACGGAATTAATCCTGGTCCGATTACGCTTGCCTGATACCGGCGATGAGGAAAAAGATCGGAGAGGACGTGAACACAATCGTTTACTTCAGAGCGCCACCACGTTGGTGTCGTTGTGCCGTGTGTGGGGTTTGCGCGTGTGCATCTATACCTCGGATGTTTGAGTCATACATGCGCTAACATCGAGACCTAGGCGTGAGGATGATCCAAGACAAATATCCGTGTGAATGAGGGGGGAGTTGAGGATCCGCGCGGCTGGCGACATGCTGCGAAAAGGGGAACTCTGTGTCGGAGACTGGAGTGGTCGGATTAACGGGTGTGAATAAACACGATTCACAACAACATCCACACTTTACACGCTCGCATTCGCGTTGTGGTTGAGTGCCAGCAATCGCGCCTCTGTAAAGCTCGTTTACAGGATTATTGATCGTAATGACTCATCCCTATTTCTACTGGTTACTGTTATCAGTGCGTGTTGCGCACACGCACACTCATCCACACAGACAGACACCCACTTGGCCGGCGTGACGTCAATGTACGGTGGTGTCCGTTGTCGCTTCACTCGCCTCCATTATCGGGCTGTTAGGGTCTGTTAACCAGTGGAGTTGTCGGGGAGTGCAAGCAACCCCCTTCAGGGTCTGGCAATCACTGCGCGCCGTTTGCCTGATTAAAACCGCTAATTTAATAAGCAAACTCAATTTCCCATTTCACAATAATAATCTACCAAATGAGGTTCTAAGGCTATTTATTTCGATATCAGTAGATCGTGCATCGCTTGTAACCGCCGTGTCTTTGTGGCGGGTTAACGGCGATCGCGCCTAAGCGAACCCTGGTTACCGACCTGACGGTGACAATGACTCATCCCTTTCCATTGGTTACTGTATCCACACCCAAAGACACACTTGGCTGGCGTGACGCTAATAAACGGTCGTGTTCACTGTCGGCTCTCTTCTCTCCATTCTCGGGTTGTTACGGGCTGTTAACTTGAGGGTTGTAAGGTAGGGCTTAGATCACAAGCCACTACACATCCACGTCGATCACACGCCTTCTTCACTTAACAGACAAATGATGCGTGATTACAATAGCGAATTTAATAAGCAAACTCAATTTCCCATCTAACAGCGATAATCTGCCCAAAATTATGTTCTAAGGCAGTTATTTGGTCAGCAGTAGATCGTGCCTCGCTTGTAACCGCCGTGTCTTCGCTGCCGTGGTGCCATCTGCACTGCATTTACTGAGCCTTTTGACTTTGGTAAATCGTGCTGGTACACTAGTGGGTCCTCAGCAAACGAGGACTTCGAAAAGGTTCCTGCGCGACCTCAGTTCCACCTGGAGCCGAGTCAGGAAATCAGTGGAAATTTCAGACCATGCTTTTCTCACTGCAGGTTCGGTGAGCGCTGGAGTGGTAAACAGGGAGGCACCAGCGAGGGGACCCCATCCAGGTTTGCTGTTTCCTTACTGCCTGCACGTCTGCTGTAAGCGTGCAACTGCCAACACGATTTCAGCGTTTCACTCGACAGGCAGAACAACTAGCACCCGTTAGAGCACCATCCACAATACTCGGCCGTTTACTCAGTCAAATCCGGTTTAATACAACTCACTCCTACGGATTTTATAACTTCAGCGCGCGCGCGCACACACACACACACACACACACACACACACACCAGACATCTGAGTCACAATTAACACAAAGAACTCGAGCTGCTTTGTGTCATCAGTTTCGTGTGATTATTACCTATTTGGGTTTGTGTGGGTAGTTTTAAGAGTAGTCACACGATCAACTCTTTACAGCAGCAGAATCAACAGTATCTGCACAATGTCAACGCTGCCGACAACCCGGTAGTGCAAGGCCATAGAGCAACGACCTAAGGGAGGTTTTACTGAAAAAAAAACACGAGCAGCCGACGGGCTGAGGTTTCTTCAAGCCTACCATTAGTGAATGCCATTTCGCTGCATGCAAACAAGTGGAATGGCATCAAACTTCAGCTTCATATAAGACCGCGACTGTTGTTCTACACGAATGGAGAAGATAGCCTGGCTGGACACATTCACATAAATGCCAGTGACGATATTCTCATCATGTTTGTGCAAGGTGCCGGCCGAAGAAAATCCGACTAGGAAGACCTTATTAACGAATTTGGTTGCTCAGGACAAGCGGAACAAGTGTCTTCCAGTTATCATTTTAACGACATAAGCTTTAGCGATCACAGACGATCTAAGCACCCCTTAGATTACTCCAGAAGCATGGGTGGACGGAGACGCGCGCACAACAAACCTCGATTTAGCAAACAGCCAAAGTCGCGTGTGTCTACATGCGCTAGCGTTACACATGTCTGCACTGCTGGGTGCCTCATTCATTCAGTCTGGGATCCCAACTTACCATCGACAATCCCCCCTCCAACGACACCTCCAGAAACGACAAAACCGCACCCATCGTAACCCTGGTTCTAGCTCTTCTAATTGTCGCCTATTCCATTTAATGCAAATTTTTTGAACTTAAAACTGTGGCTAGTAGAGGGCCAAACGCTGTGACGAGACTCTGCATCCCAAAATATGGACCTATTTTCGGTTATGTGCTTTTAAAGAACATGGACCACGGGAACTGCGAGACCCATATTTCGTCACATCCCGCTCTTGTGATTTCTTCTTGTTCAGTTAAATGGCATTTGTCTTGCACCACCCCCTTGACACGTTCTACCCAATCTCATGTTCAATCGAAAAAAAAACAACTAAAAACGCCTCAAAGTGCTGCACAGTATTAGCAAAAACAGGTAAATAGCACTTTCTACCTTACACGCAGCCATTTGCTATAATTAGTGCTTCTTGAGTGTGTGCACAGACACTGAGGCAAGGACTACCTGCGTGTGTAGCACACCGATAGCTGCCACCACCACCGCTCGCAATTTCCCTGTAAAGCAAATACAACAGAACTCGCACACTTTGCACCCAGCTACACGTCGCCAGTAAAAAGAGCCAGACTTGGGTCACGTTCGTATAAATCACGAATAGCAAAATCACGTAGACATGGGGGAATGGGGCGAAAGGCTAGGGGTAGCTAACAGCGGCATGTCTTGTGGCGAGCGAAACACAGCCAACAGAATTCGTAACCACATTTTCTGCAGGTCATGTGATTGCAGCCGCCGGTTTTCTAAAAAAATACAGTAAGGTAAGACAAAATTAGCCCCTCGCATGCCCTGACGCCCCACCCTAAAAAAAGCCTCCGTCGACAATGACGCTGTGCTCCAGCACAACTTGCAACAGCGAATGCACACAACAATCGACTGGGCCCATCCCACCCTTGACAGCCCTCCAAACAGATGCCAGTCAATGATGCTTAAAGCTGTGCAGCACAACCAAGGCGCTTTTACACCAATGAATTGTCTTCTTCCAATTGTCAACTCACACACTCTCATCCACCATCGCAAAACCGAGTCACCATTGCTTCTCGTTCATTTTCTCCTGAAAACTATCACCACCGAACATTTAAATATTAATTGCGAGTGCACGCAATTCGACCCTGGATTGCAGTCTACATCGCTGACTAGGAGGCCCACACACACACACTTAGGTGATCACTCTCGGGTTCCTAAACCGAGGCAATAACCAACGTCTGAAATTGTCGCCTGCCTCCAAGGACACGGTTTTAACACGGCATGGTATGAGCACCTTCGTCTTCAACCAAATACTGCTGTACAGCCACAGACAGGGTGAGAGACATTAGCATTTGCAGCTGGTTTATGCACTTGTGGTGAATTCCGATTCCTGCTCAGGGGATGTGCAAATTTACACTGAAATTAGGCATGTACTTTCACGCAAATAGGAAGTCGGAATGAGGTATATTAAAAATTACACCCAAAAAAAGTAAACACGATGAAAAATTGGTTGTACTTAGAAAGCGTTAACTACTGATACAGAGCGCATTTACTGCTGTTGAAGTGATCATAGGGGTTCGCGCTGGTTATAACAACCAAGCACTTCCAGCAAAAGTTCTTGTGGCATGTCGAACACAACATCCGATTGCACCCGCTAATTTTCTGTGTTAAGAAAGGAGAAAAAGGAGAGCATATGCATTAAATCCCAAGGAACAATTTATATTTTACATGAACAAACTACCAGGCGGTTGGTGCGTGGCAATGCATATTGGATATCACAAATGCCCCATAACTTGTCAACTGTTTTACCCAATATTTGCCAAACAAGATAGTCGTTTATACGAAAAATTAGCACAACAGTCGTGAGGCAGCGCCTGGGTTTTGAGATGCCTGATGTTAACACGTGTTATCACAACCAAGTGACCTCACAACTGTAGATGTTATTTTTCACCCACAACGTTATCCACAAACTCCGGGGTGCTACCCGACAGCGACCAAACTAAAAGCTCTGGGCGACAACATTTTCCTGTTAAATTACAAAACGATGCAATTACAAGCCAACCCAAGTGGTCAATAAATGCGGCTAAAATTTGTCATCGTTTCCTCTTAGACAATACGCATAAAAAGCTCAGTTTCCCACATAACTCATGGGTAAATGTCACACACAGACTCCTGTTCATCGCTAAATACCCACTCAAAAATTGTACAATTTGTAGAAAAGAGGACTCGAGGCGTGGCTAGGCGGGAGTATAAATGCTGTAAAGTTACAGATCAATGGTTGTTTACCACGTAAAGTAGCAGACTAAACTCTCAAGAGCTACTTTAAACTCAACAATGCTTTTGAACTAGACTAAGCACGCAACTGCCAATTTCCTTCCCAATAAGCGAGTAGATGTCCACTTAATCATTGCAGTGACGCAGCACGCAACAAACACACTAGGGCTAGACAGCAGGTAGAGAATCTGGCTGGACTACTCGGCTTATTCCAGCGCTCTTTTAAAGTGGAATGAGGTCTTTTTTAACAAGGAGCCAATTCAATTAATTTACTGGTTTGGTGGTTAGTGAAGAGATGACCAAATGTAGCACTAATAGTCAGGAATTCTAAATTAAACACAACAGTAATCGCACGTCAATTTTGCACTGTACTATCACTGAGAAATCAAACATTGTATCTGACTAAAATTGAGGTTCAAACTTACCTGTATGGGTGACTTGCAGTTAGGACAAGGTTTGCAGTTGGATCCTATAAAAGTGTACGAAGCTTGTTCGTCAATCAGCTTATTAATATTAATTAAACCATACTCCAGCTCCATCTGAGCACGCCCTTGTGGTCCAGCACTTTTGTAGCGCTGCACTATCTCATTCGCTAAAAACAAAAAAAGCAACATTTCAAGGGATGATACTCACAAAAAGGATTGGGTATGCGCAAGATATCAAAAACCCCAAATGCATGCTTAAACCACGCCTTGCTCGTAATATTCTGCACAATGTCAGCGAATACCATAATACCCCCGAACCCGGCTAAAATTAAAACGAGGAAGATCAGGTATCGCCAAGAAAGCCAATACAGAACAATTTTACTCCTAATAAGCACGAATGAGAAGCCTACTAGCATAAATTATCATTGCAACCTCATCAATATACTCCATTATCAGACTTCTATAAAAAAAAATTACCTTCGGCAGGAGACAGATTTGCAATTGGACCAGTTGTACAGGCGGTATCTTCATGAAATTCCAGCCGACACCGCGCACAAAAGTGAAATCTGCACTGTGGGCACAAGCCCTGAGAATAGTCGGCCTCCAGCATGACATGACAATTACCACAGCCCTCTCGAGGGCACTCCACGATGTCTTTCATTGAACTGAGTGTCCTATTTAAAAGGCGCGTCTCATATTGCTCATAGACGTCAGCGTTGACAACTTGTTTAATCTAAAAGACATGACTGAAAGTAACTCATATAGTGCAGGCCCTTAAAGAATTAAGTTTTCTAGACATTACCTCCTGTGGGCGAACAGGCTTCGCGCATGAGGGACATATGGGGGACCCAGAATTGGCTCCATCCTCGATGTTTGCCCTAAAAGACCCAGCGGCACAGTCATGGCAAAATACATGTCCACAGTCCCTGAGTTTGATGCAATTCGTGCCATCAAAAGTGTCAAAACACACGGGACAATCATGTTTGCTAAATTCGAATTCTCTATCACGCATTTGTTCTTCGAAATCAATTAAAATATCAACAAGTCGAGCACGATCTCGCGGCTCATCAAAGAGTTGGAAGACATTAAGTACGAGGATATTTGGGTCACCAGAACTGAACAAAAAAGGAATGGCTTCTGCTTGGAGATAGTCACAACACTTCTCAAGGGAGGAACCGGTACCACCGGAGGCCATAAGAGAGGAAATGCTCATGTTGAGTAAATCAAGCATATCGGACGGAATCCATGCACACTCCAACCAGAAAGCAAAGTTCGGGTCTTTTGGATATCTTGAATTGAGCTGGAACTTCAAAGATATTGGAGGAAGCATTGTGAGAATGTAAGTGACGTCGTCGCCGTTATTCTCGAAAGGGCATATGTCAGAGTACCTGAGATTCCTCCTCAATGGTGGACCAATCACTGATATGGTGTACCTCTGCATGTACCTTGCTTCGTATTCACCCAACAAGTCCTCATTGCTTTCTAGCTTGAAGCAATCACCGTACTTTGTTTCAAGCGAAGCCATTTCCGAAAGTATAACAGCTCTATTCCGATTTAACTCCATTTCACCAGACCCACAATCAGGTTTCTTCAAAAGCTCCTGAATGATATCTGTCATTTTTTTGTTTGATAAAAATTAGCCTAGCATGCAACCATTAATCAAGGCGAATCACAAATCCAAAGTTTGCCTTACAGGCAAATTCAGCTAAACCAACAAGAGAGACAACCGAAATTATGTCAGACTCTACTTCTGAAGCACGTTCAATGGTGTAAACACTACCACAAGACCACAAATCCCCCCTTTAAGTAAAAGCGCGTAGCCTTCAAAGGTGAGAAGTAGATAATAAGCGATATGGCCTATGAAAATGGATAATTCTAACAAAATTGTTTGTAGCAAAAAACAGATCAATTACAAGGTGCTTAACTGTCAGTCATCTTTTTAAACAACATTTTGGTGAATGCAATAAATGTCCGATGGGCGAATTTTACTTTTGTCCATCGTCCGGGAAAACTGTTCGCCCACATGCTAAGTCTGGTGCAAAAGCATTGACAAACTAAATATAGACCTTAACGGTTCATTTGCTATTATACGTGTAGGAAAACTATTGATTTGCAAGGTTATGGCGTTGAAATTTATACCTCTCCGCACCTCGAATGTGGCTAGGAAAAAATTGCACAATTTTAAATACGGTATTAGTGGAGAGCAGGAATCCGTGTGTGACATTTACTCATTAAATTTTTCAGCGCCTCTTTAGCCAGCAGCATGAGTTATGTGGAAATATAAGGTCATTATGCATATTGTCTAATCGATTTATCCACGTTTGATTTATTGCCAAATATTCAAGCACGTGATTGTGTTTTTGCCTAGCCATGAATGAAAGCTTAATCGATTTGTAGTGACGTACCTTTAGAGGCACAGTTATGGCTTATCAGGAACCATCCAATGCATATGTCTAGGAAATAAAATGCCGTCACTCAATCGCTGGAGACGTAGCATTTACTTAAGTGACACTGCATTAGCAAGCCAGGAAATATTTTTAATTTATTTGGTTTTTTCTCATTAATTTGTGAAGAGTGTGCTTAAAAAGATATCACATCCACTAGGACCTTTAGAGAATGAAATTTTTGACACATTTACGAATTACAGATTGAGGTGAGGACCTTTAATCAAATTAGTTTGTCGAGATTTATGCTTTGCGGTAGGGTTGTTTCTAACCATTTCACAAAAGACGCTTTTAGTGTGAACTGACAATGAATTCTTCAGTCGCTGAACCAATGCACTACTAAGCATGCTGTACAGTTGTCCGACAGGCTTTAAGAGCCACCCTACGTAGTTTGACTAAAAGCAGTCAAATGTGACACTCAGATCAGCATTTTTAGTCTATAACACGATGAACGTTGTTCCTATGAATCATCAGTCAAATCGCTCTGTTCTATACAAAGTGTGACTTTTAGCGTCATAGTTAGTCTTTTTTTGCAAGATATAGTTAAATTGTACAATTTAAAATTTTGATCTTACAAAACCATAATATTTTTTTGGGAGTGTTAATGTGAATGATACTTTATTGAACTGACGTTGGTGTCGGGCCTTTTTGTTGTTTGCTGTCGAAATGGATGAAAATGAGAAAAAAGCCCGGGAGTATCTAGCTAGCGCGGCAAAGCAGCCAAGGGGAGGGTTCTTGCGTTCGCTTTTTTCAGGGTCGGTACCGAATCGATTATTTTTTTTGCTTAATGGTCATAGCCCAGACTTGAGCAGTAGAACCCACAAATAGTTCCACTTACCCAGTTGAACTTCACACTTACATAAATAGTTGTGCAATTTAACTTTGCGGAATAGTCTGTTGATGTATTTTGCTAGTGACTCTTTGGTTGAGTTTGTTTTTATATCATGCAAGCAGTCAAAGCTGGTTTTAATTTCTTAACTATAGACTGGTTCTGGAGACTAGTTTGGTCACCAAAGTAATGGATGAAAACAGCTAGTTTAATTCATCTACTTATTGGTGTTTTTGTCGTTGATAATATCGTAGTGTTATCATTCAATGCCCCACTACTTCAGCTGTGTTTGCGGGTTTGTTGGAAATTTTGTGTTAATCTTTATATTTTTGCGGTAAATAATGTGTTGTCCCATTTACCCGTATCTCTCCTAATTTAACGTCTAACGTTCTGGTTGTTTCCTAGTCCTTTCATCTTGAATCATGGGCGACTCCCTTGGTCATATTTCCACCAAAAAAACTACTGTCATAAACAAAATTTTACTAGAATCATAGCAGTTGAGGTCAGGAGTAATTAAATATATTCATTTAGGCAGTTAAAATGGAACACATTAGAATTGTTGGTAGTGTACCCTTCCATCGTCATGGGACAAACTCAGTGTCAATGCTACCGCTATGTTTTTGCTGCTTACGACTGCGGTTCTAGATAGATCACCTTTGTTGCAGAACGATATGTTATCGTCCTCATTTTTTATCTCCTTACGGCTTCCCTGTAACAGTTTATATCTCCAATTCCTCTCAAAATTGGGCACATTTCTTGTGGCCTACTGTCAACAACTTTATGCACACGATTTATTGTATGTTGTGGTACTGAACCCAAGTGTCAAACCTTTTTACTTGCCCTATAAACGCACATTGTAGCATTGGAAGCTCAAAATATATTTCATATTGATAGTCACTCTGATGCTACTGAAGAAAGAGTTTCCCTCTACGAGCGCGCTGCAAACTGTTTCAAGATGTCTCACAAGTGGCAGGAGGCTGGGGATGCATTTGTTAAGGCCGCAGAGCTGTCTGCTAGTAACAAATCCCAGCTGGATGCTGCCACGCAATACGTCAGTGCAGCCGTTGCCTATCGCAAGACGGACCCGAATCGCGCGATCACCTGTTTGACTCGTGCTGCCGACATCTACATCGAAATGGGTCGCTTCACGATTGCCGCTAAGCACCACATGACAATGGCTGAGATCTATGAGCAGGAACTGGCGAACGAGGCTGAAGCCTGTAAGCATTATGAACGAGCTGCCGACTTTTACAGGGGCGAAGAGTCGACCAGTTCTGCCAGAAAGTGTATGCTAAAGGTAGCACATTATTATGCAACCTCCGGTCAATTTGAAAAAGCTGCGAGGATTTTTGAAGATGTAAGTACCATTTCGTTTCTAGTGGACTATTTGTGCTCTGGTATTCCACGTATTTGCCATTTACCCAACTAATCTGAAATTCTCCCTGGATTGTGGATTTCGTAGATAAATCGGCATCTCGTTCAACTGCCTTCAGAGATTGCCTCTTGTTGGAAATATGTCTGTAGTTATCTGAGCGGTCGATACCTTTTTATAATGTTGATGTTAGCAACGTGTCATTATCATCCTTCTTTGACAGATCGGTGTTTCGTCAATGGATAATAAGTTGCTGCGTTATGGAACTCGGGAGCACCTCATGAAGGCTGTGGTCTGCGACATGAACTATGATATCGTGAAGGGTCACAGCACTCTGCAGAAATATGAACAAAATTATCCTACGTTTGCTGATTCGCGTGAATGTGCCTTTCTCAAGGTGAGTTCTGTTTACTTGTGACCACATGGGTTAGCACTGTAAACCGATCAATTCAAAACTAAAGGTGACCTCGGTTTTTTGTGTACTGTTTGTGGGTTATTTAAAAAAAGTAATTAACGGAATTAAAAGGTATCAAAAACAGTAAAGCCAAGCTGTTGATTTTATTCATGCTACTGATTTAATACTAGTACGTATTGTATCATATTTGTAGAAACTCGATGAAGCACTGAGTTCCGAAGATCTGGAGAAGTACTCTGCTGCCGTAAGGGAATACGACAGCGTCACGCGGCTGGAACCATGGATGACCGAAATGTTGTTGAAACTTAAGAAAACCCTAACTAACGAAGAAGACATCACGTAGGCGCCGCAGTTGGCTTTCACTATGCATCCCAGATGATACACAACCTTGTAGAAGTTGCATAGATGATGTTCAAATTACCTACCACATTCCCCCTGTGTCTGTGTGTGTCTGCGTGAGTGTTGTGTAAGCATAATTATCGCCCTCCACCGAAGGCCGTATTTTCTTCTGAAGTACCATTCCTCCCCCCAACCGAGGTTATTTGCATCAAATATTAATTTGGATCTTATTATGAATGAAGTCTTTACTACTTCGAGTGTTTGTTAATTCGATTTTGTTCAGGGCTAGTATGTTACACCAAACAATAAAACTCGAATTCAGGCCCGTGGTGTTATTTGAGCAGCAGAGCCGATGAAGAACGTCCTTGCACACCACAGTCCTGCTTAATTGTTGCTGTTGCAAAGTGAAAGACGTCGAATAAAGCATCGTAGGCTGCGTAATTAACTGGGACTAAGCCCAAAGCCTGGGTGGCAGGTCCGGCGGCGGCGGTAACAGATGCACTGGTCACCAATGGCATCTGCCAATCTTGCCTGCCTTGTGTTGTCATGTTAGTTTGTTTACGAGTGGGCGGTGGGTGTCGGCGGCCAGTCGGCCGTGACTTGGACGCCTCCGCGCAGACCAGCGGCGGGAACGTGGTTTAAAGCAGCACATTTACCCTGCATCTTCAGACTCCATCATCTGTGCAGTGCCTCCTCTCTTAGCAGCCTATCCGCGACCTGACCAGGCCCGTAGCAACCCCAGCCCCGTGTCACACTTGAACGGTTCAAACCGCTTTCTCTTGAGAGCAAACCAACTGCACGATCTAGTGGGTGTATGACTTAATTTTACAGATTTTCAGAAAATTTAATATAACAATGTGGCGGACACCGAACTTAATCGTGGAAATATTGTCCATCGTTTTCTGCGACCTTGCGCCATCTCTCAGGTAGCGTACGAATGCCGTCGCAGGAGAAATTTTGCAGGCTTCGAGGCGATGAAATCGTCGACGAATTCACGCACATCGTCCAGCGTTTTGAACTGTTTATCCGCTGACCGGAGCAAGTGGTAATCGGATGAGGCCAAGTTTGGTGAATATGCCGCGTGTAAATGAACTTCCCATCCCAAGTTCGGTAGAGTCTTCTGGGTCGCGGAAGCAACGTGAGGTGGAGCGTTCTCATGCAGCAGTATGACTTGCCTGCTTCCTTGCTCTGTAAATGGCCTTCTCTGATCAAGTTCCTTGCTCAGTTTGTTCAATTGTCGGTTGTAGCGTTCCGCGGTCACCGTCTGGCGACCAGTTTCCATGAGTTCGTAGTAAAGTTCCTCCTTCATGTCCCACCAGATACACAGGAGGACCTCCTTCAACTGGATGTTCTGTTTTGGCGTCGATTTTCTGAGTTGCCCAGGATCTACAGACGAAGTACAAAGTACATTTTTCATCACCCGTCGCAGTTTTCCACAAGACGTCTTTTTTTGCTGCTAGAGGGCAAGCAGTAAAAGGCAGGTCTTTATACCTTGACCTAGGTTGTGTGCGGTTCAAACGCTTAGAAGTAGGTGACTCCTAGCTGGGCTGCAGGCTAATGTTACGTTTACATTGAACCTCCTTCTCGTAGAGCTTGCGATTCCGCGTCTTCAAATTTCCGAGGCTGCCGTCCTGGGCTCGGCTGGTCACCAACATCGAAATCGCCACTTTTAAAACTTTTATACCAACAATTACACGTTTCATAAGACACAACGTCGGCGTTGAGAACGCCATAAATTGATTCCCGTGCTTTTTTCCTTGATGGGATTCGTTTAAAAGGCTATGCCGAGTGTTCTGTTTATCAGTTACCATCACAGGTTCTATTCTAAGAGGTTATGTAATTCACGTAGATTTATCTGTCGGTGTTCTGAAACCTTGCGGCTGATCCTTTGAAAACCACAAAATACCACGAAATTATTTTAAACATAATTGTAAGGTGGAAGAAAAAATCGATAACAATTAGGTTATATACCTAATATGACGGCTACTTGTGTCCTGCGATGTGGCTTCATTTTTAGTCTCATGTTCCTTGCTTGAGTGAAGACTTGACGGTTTTGGCCACTAATTCAATCTTCAGTCAACTCGTGAATTTCGTGGGTTTTATTCTTACCGAAGCAAAACAACCCCATTCGCTTAATCAGCTGGTGTTTCTATTTTTGTATCACACCTTAATTGAGATAATTAAATCACATTTCCATTGCCTGTGTGCGAAGGCATCGCTAAACTCCCAAGCGTCGGCTTTCTCTAGTAACGTGGCATTATCCGTTCTGAGGAATTTCATGTGTGCGTGGGTCAATTTTTGCGTTTACAGTGGGCTGTGCTCTCAGACATCGCCTTGTCAGCACCGCACACACACACACACATGCATAAACACGGGCTTTGAAGTTGGTCGAAAGCACATCGTTTTGCTTCTTGTCAGAGTTCGGCCTAAACGGCGCTGGTAGTCGCACGGGCTTGTCATGCGCCTTTGTTGTTTACTTGTCCTGTCAGGGCTACGGCAGCACATTCGCCATTGGGTGAGCTCGTAATTTGTGCGTTGTTGCGAAACGCCGAGGGAGAATTGTCCAAGTTGGAGGAGGTGCGCAAGCTATTAATGTCGTGCGTGTTGAGGCCACTGCAGTATGAATCATGCCTAGCTTATCCAAGTACCCGCACTTAATTTCGAACTTGTGCCGATTCGGTGCAGTTCCTTGCCACAGCTTCAATGAGTAATTTAGCGGCCCACTAGTACAAGGATTGTGCAGCATTGATCAGTTTAGCTAACTAGCTTCATCGGTGGGGTTGGTGGTGGTGTAACTTCAACGCGTTTGGGAAATTAACTACTGCTGTGTGGCTAGCGGGAATCACACAGTCACTAGATTATGGAGTTCTATAAATAGAAAAGTGATGTTAAGTACATAGCTATGAGTAAATTATGTATTCGTTAAAATGCAACCGCAGACATAAGCAGTTGCAACAGGTCCTACCACGGCAGTGTGTTGTGAATGGGAATCAAGACCGAATGCAGCGCCACTGCCCTCGGCCAATAAGCTCATAGCTGTTGAGAAAGTTGTGTGGGAGTTTGTGTACAGACCACACGAAGGAATGAGGGCACTTGCATTGATCTTGGTGAGGTAACTACTGCAGTCTATTGGTTTGCAAGTAGAATGAACAATTTGAAAAAAAAACAATTTTCAGGGATTGAAAAGACTTCACAATTAAAAGGACTAAGACTGTTTGTAAGTTGCATTCCAACGAGTCAAAACACAGGTCAGAGAGCCAACTTCCTCGTGAACTGCATCTCAGATTTCACCGATATTAGTTTGAGTGGGATGTGTCTACGGAAAAAGTAATGAACAAAGTCGACTTGTCCGCAACGATTCTTAGGAGAAAACCTCCTTTATAAAATAGATTATGTTCAGACAAACTATTTCCTTCTCTTTGAATTACAACCAACGTGACGCAGCATTTCATTCACCAAATTTCGTCTCCTGATCTTCCTCAACACCTGAGAGCAACTCGGTGTTTGACGCACCCCTGTAATGCGAAACACATGGCATGAATCTGCCTCGAAATCTGTTCTGCTTCACCTTCGGTTCGTGAGCCTAGCCTAGATTAGGTCAGAAACTCTTTCCACTATCACTTGGCGGAAGGGTGGAATATTCGTAGCCTGACAAATTTTGCTAGCAATTATGACTTAGTCTTGAGTCTGTTAATTATAATAGTCGTACCAGTGGTTCGCAATTTCGGATGGTGGTGCTTTGTGGTGGATCGGATCCCATTACTAATCGGTGAGTGCATGAAATTGGTTATGCAAGTGTGACCAGGTCCATCAGGAGTGCAAGGACTTCCTTGTCTTGATTTGTCTCCAAGGTCGAATGGTCGCTCGAGAAGCCCCGAGAACTCGATCCGTACTAGTACCGGCAGTGCTACAAATCCCCTCTGTTGATATTGGTTGCGTCCAATTATTTTGACCAGTCAAGAGTAAAATGTCACTGAACAAGCGTTTGTAACAACGTTAAGCAATGCACAACCAATTCGGCGCCAAATGAACTGCATAATGTATTTCAATTTGGCACAACAGACAAAAGCCAAGTTGTTTGATTCTGGTTGTTCGCTTCGACTTCACAGAACAGCTTCGTAATTAGCCAAATGGCAAGAATTGTGGCTTTCTGTTATACCCTGATCAATGGCCATTCAGATTTACTAGTTGGGGCAAGACCAAGAGGCATAAAAATGTGCAGGACGTGATTGTTGCTCTTTGAGGCGACGTTACGACATCGAGTAGCCCACCGAGTTACCCGCCTGAAATGAAGTGTGGCCACTTGAAAAACAGCGCGCACCACAAAGGGTGCGTGTGCGGCGGAGCTGAAAACAGTCGAACTGACGCGGTGCGCACACATGTGGTGGGCGAATATGTATGGAGCAAGTTGACAACGTAGCGGAGGTCGGCACCTTTTAAGCAGTCACAGCCCTACCAAAAACTTAAACACCGATTTAAAGTGCAGTTTACTTTCAGTTGACTCCTTCTTCAGGTCCTCCCAACGACTGCATGAGGTACATTTGATCTGCATACAACTGAAGTGGTCAAATCCACTGAACCTGAGTGTGGGGGTCAGGTTTTAATCAGAGCAAATAGACATACATGCAATTTTGGTGTGGATAAGTTGGTATAATTATATTATCTGCTCAGGGCACTTACTTCAAAAATGTATTTCTAGCTTAAATTCCTTCGGCAGAAAATGACTTTATCTGGGTGCCACAAGGTTATACGATTTCTGGGCGAAAACAGGCCTTCCTGGTGTTTCTCCTATCTGCATCAAACATTTTCATTGGAAAGGGATTGTTTCTTAGTTTAGTAGCATTGTTAAGCACCTAGCCCTTGTTCAGAAGGGCGTAAAAGTAATTAGACAAATCCAGACCGTGCGTACATGCTGTCTAGGTCAACTTGTGAACGTTGTCGGCATTGCATCTGTGTGAGGTCATGCTCTCGTGTTTGACAGTGACTTGCACTCTCTTAGACAATTAGTGTCTGGAGCCTTGTGGTTCATAGACGTCTAGCTAGCAACCCCAAACGCCACTAACCCGTGATTCATGGTTAATTTGATCGTAGAAATTGATTCAGGTTGCCAGGCCAATGGTGTTTAAACGAAATCCTAATTTTCTGATGCCATGTTTTGCAAGCTACTGCAGCTAAACTGCTAGAAGTAAAATTTGAGAAAACGCTTTACCTTTAAACACTTTTCCTTCGTAGCTGTTCAAAAGCGCTTTCATAGAAATGTCGTGGATCAGCGAATGTGTACAGTCATTTATTCGAAGTAGCATGCCTCGCACGAATATGGGCAAAATTAAAGAGCGATTAATGATACAACATTGCACCTGCTATAATCAACTGTCGATGCAATTTTGAGCTCTACTAATTAGGCTCCAGTCAAAATCCGAACCAGTACAGGTGTGTTACGACCTTGATGGGGATGGCAACATTCCCCTGACCCGTAAATTAACACAATGACTTGTGACGTCCATTCACCCAAGTTCTGTTCATTCAGCTAAAACTCTGCTGTCACGCCACGTCGCTATTCACACTAACAACTCCCTCGCTCGGTTCTATTTACTCAACTCATCGATGTCATATCGCCAAGGCATGCGTAGGTGGGCACATCTGGGCATCCATTCGACTTCCAC